CTTTTCGGGTGGTGTCCACCGCGATGTCAACCTCAAGATCTGACAGTCGGGGGTTATCTGCCGTGTTCATATGAGACTTTACATACAAGAAGCTCCCTCTCAGATCCCGGAAATATTCGTAGATTAATCTCGCTATCCTATATCAGTTATTCCTTCAAACCGCCTCCCCATTTGTTCTGAAAGCAAATCTTATAAGTATAGAAAGGAGAGGCATAACTGAACAATCTACATTTTGTGGTGCAGAAGCACTTCAATTCGCAATAATGAATCCTTCGAACCCCACTTTTCATGGAGAGAGCCCATCTCCAACGCTGTCAAACAGCGTTTTGAAAATGTTTGACATGACTGGTAAAGTTGCTATCATCACTGGTGGCTCGGGAGGAATCGGATACGAAGCAGCTCGAGCGCTTGCAGAGGCAGGTGCCAATGTTAGTTTACACTGCGCTTTAAAATTTACCATTGTATGCTCTTGCATCTAATGTGCCTCCAGGTTGCTCTTTGGTACAGCCGTGCCACAAATACCGACGAACTCGCGGCTACAATTGAAGCAGATTTCGGCGTAAAAGCAAAGGCTTACAAGTGTTCGGTTGAGAATTTCGAAGAGGTCCAAAAACAAACAGCTGCTGTAGTCGCTGACTTCGGCCGACTCGATGTCATGATTGCAAATGCAGGCATCTCCCGTCCAGCAGGTATGTAAAATTCTCATGCACTTCTATTCTTTGCTTAACACGTACTTCAGGTGGTATCGATGACCCTATTGAAAACTGGGAGCAAGTACTCGCTGTAAATCTAGACGGAGCCTACTACTGTGCTAAATTGGCGGGCGAAATTTTCCGAAAGCAGGGATCCGGAAGCCTGATCTTTACAGCATCCATGTCTGGCCACATAGCAAATGTCCCACAGCGTCAGGTAGGTTCTAGGCTTTATATCTGCTCCACCAACTGGTGCTTCAGAAGCCCTGACAAGTTTTTTTAGGCCTGCTATAATGCGTCTAAAGCCGCTGTAATTCACCTCGCAAAATCTCTTGCAGTGGAGTGGGCAGACTTTGCACGCGTGAATGCCATCTCGCCGGGCTATATCAAGACTCCGATATCTGCCGGGATTCCTAAAGGATGGAAAGAAGAATGGTTGAGCCTCACGCCAATGAGACGCGAGGGTGATGCGAAAGAGCTGAAGGGAATATTTTTGTACCTTGCGAGCGACGCTAGCACTTTTACCACTGGAGCAGACATTGTGATAGACGGAGGATATTGCTGCCGGTAAATACTCAGAAGGGAAGATTGGAATGAAGGTGTTTTTAAATGTACATCAAATTCTGCGACATACATGCTGTACAAATGCATCTGGCTAAGGCCGATAGGCTGATGTGGAATGTTGAACTTGGGCTGGAGACTGTACAGATGTTGGCTTGGAGCTGAAACAGACGCAACTGTGATATAAATATCGGAGGGGTGAAGACGGCGCCCTAGACCGAGCAGCTAGCTTTCAACGGATCCAATTGCGAAAACAGGGTCTGAGATATCAGTCATATGCAGACATTCGGTTCATAAAGTCTGTGATGGTCGATTCCTGCCTAGCATCCACACAAGTTAGCATATAACTTTTGTCAGAGATGGACCAAGGCTTCCAAGACTACGAGGGGTGACTTACAACGCGTTAATACGATCGAGTTGTGCAAAATCCGACCCAAGCTCTGGCCACATCATCGGATATAAGCCGGTCAACTGATCCTGCCATGACTCTTGTGTTGGTTCGTTTATTTCTTCTTCATTCGATATATATGATTCGGTCAGAGATGTTACGACGCGAAGACACCGACTCGCTGTAGGATTGAGCCGCATCATGGATTCTAAAACCCTGATGGATTCGCGAATCTGATCACGCCATGCTCCCGCCATGTCGGACTGCGGATTATTACGAAGACAGACAATGGGAATAAGAACTGCTTGAAACAAAAAGTATAGTCCGTACCAGGAAGCCATCATTGTCTGGGAATTATTAAACCAGAAGCTTGAAATGAGTTCGACCGATTCCCTTGATGCATCCAGACAACGTTGAAAGGCGAGATCGATGCTTTCTGGGTCATCCAAGTTGTCCTGGTCTTGTCCCCACTCTGAGCCTGACATGGCCCGTCTAACGAGAAATGGACGGTACGCCAGTATGCGCAAGTTGCGATACCGCCATTGAAGTGTAGCATGGCAGAAGGCATATTTGGGAGGCTGAATGGCGTGTGGCTGGAAATAATGAGGCAGTGAAGCCAGCCATGGGCATATTGATATATCGTCCAGCGTACTCATTTCTTTTGCTGTTGGAAAAGTGTTCGATATCATCCTTTCGTAGATGTTGCAGGTAGCCATATGAAACGAGCACTGGGCTCTTAAATGTGAGTATACCGTGGTTGTATCTGCTGGTGGCGGTCTTTGGGTTGTTGATATTGTAAGATCCTAGATTATCAGTCAGCCGCGCGCATTTCCTGAGACCAGCAGCGATACTCACAGTGTCGTGAACATTTATAGGCAGTTCAACGTCGACTCCACTTTGTGGGAAATCGAACGGCCTGGAGAAAGTAATGATGCTTCCCACATCAAATACATACAAACACCACCAAACTCTGCGTCTCATCTCTACGACTAGAGGGTTTAGCTGCCAGGCCGAGAACTCCTTATGGAGGCCAATTCCCATAGCTATACGTCGTGCCAATCCGTAGTAATTGTAACTCGAGTTTGGTTTGTTTCCCATTTGTGCATAGTTCGACATTAACGTCAAAGCCTGGACCAGGACTAGGTTGCCAGTTTCCAACATATCAATCGAAAACCTCGCCTTTGCTGCCTCAAACAATCCAGTATGAACATCTGAACGTTGCGTAGCAGTAGACCATGCCCCTAGAGCAGCCACAACATACAGCAGGACCTGCCAAGCATTTCCGCTGGGTCGCGGTATTATTTCCATGAATTGAGCTCGAAATGTTGCCTCATGTACTATGGGATATGAGCGATGGTAGAGCGAAAAGTAGTCGTCGATATAACCGTCCAATGCAGACAGGGAGGTGAGGGCGAATGGTATTGTGGATACCCTTGGGCTTGTTGTCCCAGAACGATGGCTATTGTTGCCTACGGTGATGCGTAAAAGTGCAGCCCCTGAAGCAACGCCTTCAATAAGTTAGTGTTTGTCTGCATTGAAAAAGAGTAACCACGTTTCGGAGAGAAAGCTATACCGAGATAACCGCTGCCATCTACATCGCTGGTCAAACTCCCCATTCCGTCAACAAACTTTTGTCCGCCCTCTTGACCACTTCGTTCATCCCATTCAAAGCTCCCCGATGTTGGGGGCGTTTCGAGGGAAATCATGATATCTCGATTCGACCTCGACAGTCTATCAGTGCATGGTGTATGTAAGTTGTGATGATTTGGACTCGCTGTATGAGCAATCAAGGTGCAGTACTCCGTCTCCGGCGCATGTGTATCTCTGGAGCGCGATGAACCAAAGTATTCTTGAAGAGATGGGTTCTGCTGAGGAATGGCTGCATCTGCCTCGTTGTGTCTCTGATACTCTGTGGGTTGAGAGGGAGGTGGAGATGGTGTTGCTGGCTCCTTGTCCAGTATATTGACTTCAGGGAGCGACATTGAAGATACATTGGTGTTCTCGCGGTTTTGGCGTGACTGCAATTCCCTCAACAAGATCTTTGCTCTGGAAAGTTCTTCCTCGACTTGTGTCAGATGCCTGCGAACTAATTAGTAAAGCACCAGTCCTAGATAGATATCTATGCAGCCGATCATACCTCCTCGTCAACGGCGTCTTGCCCGGCCTTTCGTAGTCACATACCCTACGGTATTTCTGACATGACGAACAACGAGGAAGCAGCCTATCACACTTCAGACGCGCAAGGCCTATCACTAAGTTGCTCAAACGTCCTCGGGATATGGATCTCTACCTTGGATTTCTTTCTGCTGCATTCTTGACAAGCTCTCCGAGCAGAAGCTCCACCTTGCCCGGGTTCCTCCGTTTGACCCGGCTGCATTCTTAGTGAATTGTAAGGTGATTGTGGTGATGTAAGGGATCTGCGAATACTTAACATGTAAAACGAATCCAGATCAAAGTTCGGACATCCTTTTCCGCTTCTTAGGGTGCGTATTAACCTGTACGGAATCCGAAGTCCGGCCGTTGCTGCACAGCCACAAACTATTCCCTTCTATTAGCCACACAAACTTTGTCTCTCCGCTACGATGCTAAAGACTCGCTGTAGCTACGGAGAGGTAATTGCAGATATTGCACTACTGCCACTGCCGATTTACGAGCTTGCATAGCGCATATCGCTCATCTAGATCATGCTGCCCTCTAATTGTTACAACAAGGATACGATTGCCCCCTGGGCTAATTGGCTAGCCACGGAATCTATACCTATATGGAGCCACACCATCGCAGTCAGTCTTAGACATGCGAAAAGTCGCGAGTGAGCAATGAAACAAAGAGTAGTCCGTCTGCCTCTCTACCCATTTATCAGTCTAAAAAGATTGATCTACTGAAAATATGCTGGATAAGATCTTCCAGTTTATTAGTCAACTGCAGACTGAATACGTATAACGAGTTGGCTCAGAGCCCATAAGTCGGATATAATAAGCCCGCACTGGAAATACAGTCGGAGCTAATGACGCTAAATTATGATTATCAAACCCACAGTGCATCAATCAGAGTTACTTCCCATCAGGTTTGACATCTTGAATAACGATATAGAATATTGCTTCTTCTATGAAACTACTAAGGGTCATGTATTTGTGTATCGCGTATACAAAGAAGTTTCGGTCGGATATAGTATTGAATAGTGCGGAGATTTAAAATCCTCACTTCGCAATTCCGTATTTACAGGGTACGTCTTGAATATATAAGAAAACGCAATCTATCTCTCCTCGTTTTTTGAACATATCTATCTGTACTTCTAATGATATATAAAAGAGGCAGTCTTCCACTTGGTCTATATATCTATTTGCATTGACCCTTTTATAATGTACTTTACACTGCTAGCCGGTGCTTTACTCTTTGCAGATTTTGGATCCGCATGTTTCCCAAATGGACATGCGGCCAAACATCTGGTTGGTTGGACACCACCACTTGTAAAGCCAGAAATTCGACGAGTTCCTCGCCCAATCCAAAACAAAATCGCGATTAACAACGTCAGAATTTTTGATGGCTACGAGATTGGCGAACTCACCACGATCGTTATCGATGGAGATGTCATTGGAACAGACGCTAGTGGTGCGGAATGTGTTGATGGACTTGGAGGTGTTTTGCTCCCAGGTCTGATTGACAGTCACTGCCACCCCCTCACACTAGAGCATCTCGGACAAATGAGCAGCTACGGCGTCACGACTGCGATAGGCATGGGATGCTCTCCTGAGCCGGCATGTAATACTTTGCGAAACCAAACCGGCCTCACAGACTTTTACAGTGCCGGGGAAATCGCTACTTCGCCAAACAGTACTCACGCGACGCCTCCGACGGGTCCTCCAGATCTCATCTCAAATGCAAATCAAGCGCAGGAATGGGTGAATCAAAGGGTTGGCAATGGCTCAGACTTTATTAAGCTCATCGCAGAAGCCAATGGTATGACCCAAGCCGAGCATAACGCTATTGTTTATCAGGCACATCAGGCCGGGAAGCAGAGCACGACACATGCCTCAGATATTGCATCTTATAGGCAGGCAGTCATATCCAAGACAGATATAATCCAACATTCAGTCAGCGACCTATTATTACCAGTCGATCTTGTGAAGCAGATCATTGCCAACAACCAAACTGTTACGCCGACACTTACTGTTGCTAGAGTCGTGAACGCAAACCCGCTGTTCAATCCTTCCGGGAACGGCAGCTTCCACAATGCAACCCTCAACGCCGGTATAATGCACAAGGCCGGAATATCTATTCTAGTTGGAACCGATTCAAACCTCTTGAATGCAGGAATAAACGTTGCATATGGGTCCTCTGTGCATGACGAACTTGAGAATTTGGTTAGTGCAGGTATGACGCCAGCTGAAGTGCTGCGGAGCGCTACAATTCTTCCTGCCCGCCAATTTGGTTTGAAAGATCGTGGTATAATTGCGCCAGGGTATAGGGCCGATTTACTGCTGATCCAAGGAAACCCGTTGCAAAATATATCGACTACCAGAAATATCTTGCGAGTTTGGAATGCAGGGCTTGAGTATACACTGGCATAATATTCGTTGTGACCTAACTCTTATGGGCGCAGGGGCCAGCCGACAGACTCAGAGCTTAGAGAATTACACTGCTACCACCGATATCTCCTTAGCCGCAATAGCCGTCCTACAGTTTAGGCAGCCACGGATGAATAAAAGGCCAACAGACTACTTAAAACATTGAAACATGGAAAACTGGGAATACAAGTTACCGAAGGAAATTGGCAGTTGACTTTCCCGTATATACTCGTTTAAATACATTATATAGTCGGGTTTTAATACAGCAATCGGATTGGATTCAGCCACTACTTCATCCTTGCTACGTGATGAGACAACAGGCTTACCTACCTGGCTGCCCACTGGCCTGGCAAACAAGCTATCTTGTAACGTTTGGTTATACCTTTTTAGCTAATGAAACAAAAATCAGGGCAAACAATGCCAACTGTGGCATCCATGCCACAGCTAACTAGTTGTAGGCGATTAGTGTTATGAGACAAAAGAAACGTATAATCAACTCCCACACTAGTCTATAGTGGCTTATCAATGATCTTAGACCACTATAGGACAATATTTTCCGTTCTCAGGATGTATTTACTTATATGTTTTGTCTTTGGCACCTATTTTTTTACCTTATTGCAGTTGACAGCATAATAAGCAAATAATTCACTTAAGTGTAAGTGTGATATTGCTGGGCGCAGTGCATCATGTGTGCATGATGAATCAGTGACTGTTAGTGGGCGCTTGGATTAGGAAGATACTTGCCTTTTCCGTTTGCTAACCGCACTCCACTACAAGCACAGTCTACTTAACCCCGCTTGAAACCAAACACGGCATACTAAGTGCTGCAAAAAACTACATCAATAACTGAAGGCAGTTTTTTAGTAAGAAGCCTTTTTACATGCTACGATTAAATCACTTGTTTGGTTCCTTTTATTCCAAATCAGGTACATGACATATCCAGCACCAAGCGTAATATCGCGTGACATTTAGTTTTGGTTACTAAAATCTTTCCGCCAGTTCCGCAGATAGTAGTAATACAACTGATGCAAAAGACAACAGAAAATCATGACCTCATTCGCCTCTACTTGTATAACTAGGTCAGAAATTCCCAAAGTTGTATCAACAGGCAATTAAAAAGAAACAGTATCCCAATACAATCATATTCATAAGCAGCATTCAAAGTTCCATCCACCCAATGACCATCATGTCTCAAACGCAGACAAAATCAGTAGCTGACGCTCAAATCACCCTCAGCGGAAGAACAAACGGCCTTTTCCCGCCACAACTTCCTCCCGCATATACCAACTTAACAAAGTTAACGCGTGAGCAGGCCGGACATATCCGCCATATACACAATATTGTTTCCCAAATAGATGGAGAATGGAGATTCATGGGCACACAAGAGCCTGGCCAGGAATGGTTAGATGGTTACAGATATCAGCTTGCCACTATGGCATATGCCATTGCGGCGGCCCAATATCACCGGATGCCGGCTGCTCGATCTGTCTTTAAGCCTCTAATGGGCCGAATTATACATAAAATGCTAAGGAGGGAGGTATGGGGGTACTGGTTTTTGACATCCCACAGTGGATCTTTGGTAGATCCCGATCTCAGAGAACTACGAAAACCATGGGCAGACCCCATATGCAGAGAAAATATCATGGTGAGAAGCATTCCTTGACACTTTGGAAAAAGTCTAATCGTTATAGTATTCGGGGCATCTGCTGCTCATGACGGCACTATATGCCATGCTGTTTGATGACGACAAGTATGAACAGCCTGATAGTCTCGTCTTCAATTGGAACCCTGTGTACTGGGGATTCGGTCCCGAGCGCTATAGCTACAACCGTGCAACTCTTCAGGAAGCAATCATCAAGGAGATGGAAGCAAACGGATGGATTGGGGTCTGCTGCGAGCCAAATATGGTGTTTCTCGCCTGCAACCAGTTTCCCCTGTAAGTGATATCAAAGTCTGAGAAATAAATATTGTAAACTGATTGACAAAGTACCGCTATGCGAATCAACGATGTCCGCAATAACACCCAAGTTGCGCAAGAGGTCTTGGAAAAATATAAATCCGCATGGCAGAAAAAAGGGATGATGGGGAAAGATGGGTTACTCAGAGATGCTTACCGAATAAAGCAAGACTCTCCTGTCGATGCTCTAGACATTGGGTTTCCGGCTTGGGCCGCAGCTCATATGGCTTGGAATGTCGAGCAAATGGAGGATTTATACAACTCAATGGCCCATGGGTATTTGTCCAAGATTGGGGATCGGGTAAACATCAACCCGGACAAAGTTGCCCGGGCAATCAGGAAGCTGTCAGCTGAGAATCCAACCACAGACGCCGCGGAAATTCACGCCAAAGCACGAGCCTTGACCGCTAAAGAGGCTCATACTTATCCATCATTTATGCATCCAGTTTTCGGCTGGGTTATTGAATGGGCTGCTGAAATTGGCCCCTCTGAGGATCTCAACGGTCTGTTAAAGCATGCTGATCAATTCCTTGGCCCAAAATGGCTAGATGGTGGCCTGTATTATCCCCGCCACGATATTCAGTACGACGAGAATGACAACCACGTCTATGTCGAACCGTTTACTGGCAATGCGGGAATCGCATATGCGAGACTCACAGTTAAGCGTGGACAGGCGACCATGTGGGACAAACCATGGACCAGGGAGCAAGTAGGAACTATGCCATGGATTGACGGCGTCAGCCTTGACAGCGGAGTCGACACTTTATCCGGGGTTTGGGACGAGGGAAAGGGCGCAATGTTTGCATCTTTCCGAACTTGGCATGGAGAGCCTGCCCGCATAAATCCAGTATTCAACATGCTCCCGATTGGTCACTATGGAATTTACATCAACGGAAACCTTAACAGAGAGAATGTTATTCGGGCTTCGGGTGAAAGCATATCCATCAGCTTGGATGTTAACGGAAGCGACACTGATGTTGTGATAGTCAGGCAGTCAATTAACTGACTTTGTATTTGTTAGTTTTAGAAGTAGTTGGAAAACGGTGTTGAACTTTTGCCTCAATGGAGCGGAAACTTGCGTCATGCTAAACTGAAACAACACAAGGAGTAGCTGCATAATTAAAAATACCTATAGGTGCTATAGTTCAGCCGAGTAATTAAGAGATGAAGCGCTTAGTGTAGGGGATACAGAATTGAAAGGATCCTTAGTAGATCGATCAATTATGCTACATCGAGAAGTTTAAAATATAGGTCTAAAGATTAGAGTTAGCAAATTATACTGAGCAATAAGAAGAGCCCATACCTCCAATAGCCCATTGCCGGCTTAACAGTTTCATCGCCCCCCTGACATCTTCTATGCATGCCTCATATAATACAGAGTTGTTATCCTTCTGGAAGCCGTTGCAAGCAACTATGCAACGATACATCCAGTCCAGAACAAGAGGAGACGGGTAGCGTGGGGCAGATGGCCAGCAGTCCCGAATTCGATGGGCGACGGGAAGAACCACTTGCGAATTTGTCTCAATTGCCATGTTGTAATTCTTTCTATTAGCCTCCACAGGGCTCTCGGCCAATGTGTCAGATAATATCCCTGAAGATTCGGAATGTAGGGTTAACAGCGCACTGTACATCCGGATTAGCACCAACGGTGATGAAGCGTGGAACAAGAAGAAGAAAGCTAAGCTAGCATATCATCAGAGGGAACATAGCATACCTCCCCAATAGCGCCATGGGAGAACAAAATGCCGTGTCCGTGTCCGCCATCTCCTCATCTACAGTGAGTGACAAGAGTGAGCGAAGGGCGCGATCCAGTGCCTCCCTTTCTTCTGACAAAAAAGCTTCGTCTGTCGTAGGATCGCGTATATGCCGAAGAACGCGACCGAGCAAATGGGTTGCTTGAGCCAGTCTTGCGAATTTTCCCATCTTAACCTCAACAGGCGTCGAGAGCCTATGTGGAGGCCCGTTTATCCGTGTCTATTTTGCAGCAGTAAGCATTTATTGCTGTCTGCAAGTATTTGCAAAGTACAGCTCCAGAATTAGTACGTACCCCTTGATTCCAGTCATCGTCTGCCATAGGTAAGTATTGGAGCTGTATTGGATCTGGGGTACATAACGCTCTCCTAGGACAGCCAATGTTGATGTATCTTGATCATTTCATTTATCAGCCGACGACGTACGTGTCAGATAATATCGGGAAAACTTTGTACCTGTCAAGTATGAGCACAGCCCACCAAGCTCGATGCTTTTCTTCCATCACAACCCAATCGGATGCATCCTGGTTCCAGTTGAGTATCTCTCTATCCAGGTCTAGGGCCACTGCATATCTGGCACAATTGCCAATCGTGAGATATGCAGCAGGGTAAATACCGTTGCCGATCTCATAGAGGGCGGTTAATAATAGAGCCTGTAGTACCGTAATATTTAAAACACCAGCTTGCTCTAGCTGCACAAATGCCTGCCTAATCGAGATATATACTGTGTCCAAGGCTTGTAACTCATTAGATGATCGAGATCCTAGAAGCTGCATGCACATGGCAAGGAGAGAGATCTCAACGTCTGCTTCAACGGAACCATGTAAGAAGCTTCCGTAAAATTTGCTTCGGTTGATAATGGGAAACCATAGATGCACCGAAGCGAAATACTTATTTGCAATTTGTCGAATTTCGTCGGTGCTGGTCAAAACATTAAGTACAACAGACGACGGAGGTAGATGCCCCCTTTCTATGCTCATATGGCAGTCGTTGAATACTCGGCGGTCAAAAAAGTATGTCGCAGGAAATCGATTTATGGGAACGTCCAGCAAGATGCCCGGTGACAACTGAGCCTCTTTGGGTGAAGCAGGCATCGACCCAGGAGGATATTCACAAGGTCGATGAGTCCTGGTCAGAAAAGTTGTCAGCTACAACTGAATCCAAATGTAACCGACGAATCTCAGACAAGATGGTGTAAGCAATCGTATTTCTCTCACCTAGTGCACAATGAGCATTCGGGTAGCTCTCTGTCACAGCGCCTCTTGAGGCGTTTGCACTGTTGGCACGGGTGCATCGCAGGTCGAATGCGTCTTGCGGTATAGGAGACTAAGCTCTGCACCTCCATCTTCTTCTGATACACCGCTATTTGGAATCTGTTACTACTTCGTCGAGAAGAGATGCCACTGTTGTGGAAGAAGCGGCTGAACACGGAAAGTGCGGCGACTGCGGATGAGTGCGGTAGATATATTTCCCCGCGGCAGATTTTTTTCCCTATTTCCCCAGGTTTCTAGTTATTTATAAGACTATGGAGAAAATGTGGAGTTGTGTGGGGATTTGGGGTAACAAAAAATTGCTGGTTTGCGGAGTATACCAGTTAGGTTCACTTGCTCCCAATTCTCTAAACTACATCTGCCATAGTGTGATACTCCAACTGACGAACATGATGATTAGCGATCAGTCTATTGAGAAAGTCTATGGCCTACAACAGTAGCGCAGAGTTAGCAGCGGCTGCAGTTAGTGCCGAGTTTCCCCAGAATTTTGACAGTTCGTATAGCCCCAGGAAACATCAGATCCAGTGACTGACATAACATGGGGGCCGGACCTCTTATATCTTGATTCGGCATCTTCTCCATCATGTTGCCTCGAATACATCCATCACGAATTACAAGTTTTGTTAAACCATTACAATGACGGCCACAATTGCTACGTTTCTAGGATGCAAGGGACGAGCACTCCGCTTCCTTCAGATCCTGCTTATTGTTGCACCCGCGTTTATATGCTATGGCTTCGGACAAAATAGTGTTGGAAACCTCCTCACGATCGACAGCTGGACCGAGACGTTTCCGCGAATCGACACAATTCATGTGACAGGTGCCCAAAAGTCCAACAACACAACGGTCCAGGGAGCCGTCGTCGCTCTGTTCACAGCAGGCGGCATGCTAGGCGCCCTCAGCTGCTCGTATATAGGAGAAAAACTCGGGCGACGGAGTACCATCTTCCTTGGTGCTGTCCTGGTTACCATCGGACAGATCCTCGAGGCTTCAGCTTTTGGGCTACCACAACTTATTGTTGGACGACTCTTGCTTGGCCTAGGCGCTGGTATGCTCAGTGCCACGGTACCAGTGTGGCAGTCAGAATGTGCCCTGCCTCGAAGCCGCGGCCGACACGTTGTGCTTGTTGGCCTCTTTATCAGTTTCGGCTATGTTTTGGCATCATGGGTGAGCTTAGGGTTCTTCCAGATCAAGAATAGCTCTGTGGCATGGCGGGTGCCTCTTGCAATTCCGAATGTTTTGTCTATCACCATTATGTCAACCATTTACTTCATGCCAGAGTCTCCCCGCTGGCTGATGAAGCATGGTCGTGTCGAGGAAGCCCGCCAAGCTCTCTCTGCTTTACGAGACAGTTCTGGTGATTCTACCGAAGTCAACGCAGAAATCGGACTCATCGAAGGGGTGCTAGAGACCGCTCAGGCTAGCATTACCTGGAAACTTTTACGAAACGGTGGGGACAAGCTTGCATATCGGCTCATGCTCTGTCTCCTCATTCAATTCTGGCAAGAACTGAGTGGCAGCGCACTTGTAGCCATCTACGGCACAATAATCTTCCAGCAGAATCTCCAACTTGACAGTCAGTTGTCACGGATTCTCTCCGGCGCTGCTGTCTCTTGGAAGTTTTTGTCCGGGTTTGTCGCGTTTGCCACAGTTGACCGCCTTGGCCGTCGTCGTCTCTTCATGATTAGTGGCGTTGGCATTGGTCTTTGTATGATGGCACTGGCTATTAGCACATCGTACCCAAAAAGCAATCACGCCGCTTCGGTGGCTTCAGTCTTCTTTCTCTTCTTGTTCAATTTTTTCGTCCCGTTGGGCTTTCTCGGCGTCAATTATTTATATTGCTCGGAAGTATCGCCAATCAGGTTTCGCACCCCTATGGTCGCAATCTCGACGGCTAATCACTGGATGTGGTACGTGCTTTTGACAACTCCTATTAACTCTCGTTCATACATGCTTACACTTACTAGGGCATATGTTATTACAATGGTGACACCAGTGGCCCTTGAAACCATTGGGTACAAATATTACATCATGTTTTGTCTCGTGTGCGCTACGATTCCTCCAACGGTATATTTCATCTTTCCAGAAACAATGGGACACAATTTGGAAGATATTGAACGCATCTTCCAAGAGGCCGATAGTCCCCGCCAAACCGTTGCTCTCGCTCGACAATTGAAGCACACTACCCACGGCTTGGAGATCCTGACCAAAAACAATGGAGCTATGGCGGAAACCGTGGAGAATGTAGAAGACCCTGAAAAGTAGAGGAGAATGAACCGGAATCTGAACGTGACAAAAATATAGTAAGCCGCCAGTGCCAATATCAGCGCTGTATAGGGCTACGCTTGAAGATCAAATAGCAAAGTAGATCAACATAGATGAGCAATGAATGCAGGTTCAAATACGGAGTATATTTCTTTGATACCAGTCTTTACATGTGCATTTATCTTTTTATCGCCATGCTGTAAAGTAAACCTATGATCATAATAACATACTATATACGAGAAGTTTAAGTAGTATTAACAAACGGTCACGAATGTAAAGGAACGATTAATTAAACTGACATCAATAGTTCAATTAAACTATACGTTCCTGCTCTGTGTATTTCCTCCTTTCCAAAAGTCGTGGTATATGTTTTAGAGAATGTTTTCGTAAACTGCAAATAACCATTACACAACCAATTATTGTACTCAACTCATGAGGAGGGTATTTGATACTAGGGTAAGCTTAGTGCCGAAGCGCGGAAGGCGCGGAAGGTATGTTGAAATGCGGAAAATGCGGACATCGCGGTGGTGCGGTAACTCGACCGCCATTAGCTCATTTTAGAAGAATCGCACTAGAACTCCACCAAGGTCTTCTCCTCTTGCTCCGATCCTGATCCGAGGTGTTAAGCGGGTTGAGAATCCGGAGAAAAAGAGTGGGGGTCATTCGCCGGGCATGTTGGTGTGTTTATATAAGTCATGTAAGCGCATCGTTGTAGTCGATTTCAAGCCGGGAGATTTAAATTTGTCCATTGCACGAAAAGCAGTTTCAGGAATTACATTTCAAACATCCGTCCAGCACAATAGCAAGCAGAGAAGCTACAATGCCGCTGTACGACGTCGAATACGTTACCCCTTTAACTCCTCGACAGCAGGAGCTCCTCGCCAATGCCTTTACTACCGTACATTCGAAGCGGTTCAACACTCCGCGGTATTTCATCAACGTTCGCTATACGGATGTCAGTGACCAAGTCGTCTTTCGGGGAGGCATCCGCAGAAAGTATAACCGTCTCATCCTCCGCACCCGAGCTGGCAGCAACCGCTCTAGTGAGGAGTACCTAGAGCACTGCAAAGACCTTGTAGGCGAATGGGAGAAGATTGTCGGCAAAGATGGCGAGATGGGTCTTCGAACAGTGTGGGTCAATGGGACTTTGACCCAAGCTCTAGAAGCTGGAATTGGAAGACCAAAGGTATATACGATCTAAAGTGATATTGAAAAAGATACTGACAACTTGCTCTGATAGACTGGAGAGGAAGATAAATGGATAGAAGAGAATATGGCTCTATTCAAAGAGCTAGCTGCATCAGGAGATGAAGACTTTATAGAGTTAATGAAAGAGCTTGAAGTACGAGGGAAGCTTTAGGAAATGCAGATGGCTGGAACTCAGTTTGTCACAAAAGAGCATCTAGAGTCTGATTTATCTGGTTATCACCAAGGATATTTAGAAGGTCTTTGTTAGTCCAATTTGAAGTCTTACCCGCGTTTCTGGCCGCGCATTGAAACTCGACATATTGCAAACCCCAGCACTTTCAAGATTAGGCACATTGTCGACACTATCCAATATTGACGGCTATTAGTTTTCCCCGACCTACCACAGGCGGAATTAATGGTTAAAAACACTAAAAGTAGTAAATAAATCGGTTTGGTCAAAAGGGTCAATCCATCCTGTATGCCAGTCTTCTGAACTGTTGGTGCGGCTCTGGTGATAGGTCTTGCTGTGAGCTGCATTTGCTGTAGTAAAGCTAACGGTAGGTAAATCCATCTCGAGATTGAGATTAGCGAGGTGATGTTCAAGAATAGCAGCATAATATGCAGCTAAGTGCGCATCGTCGACTGCTGAGATCTTGAGCGCTTGGACGCCCTGTTCGAGGATTTGAGATAGGTCGATTGAGGTGTTCTCTTCACACGATATAATTTGTCGAAGGCCCAATATTCTTGCTTTAAGTAAGAAGACACAAGCAGTGATAAAACGATGGAATGTACGAGCCGGGTGAAACTTCAACATGTTGTTATGCGCTAGTTGGATTCCTCGTCTAAGGATTTGATATGCGTCGTGAATAACATCTTCAATGAACGGGTATTCAAGTTGCTCTTCTATGACCATTGTTTGCATTCGTGTATTTGTAGGAGAGTCCGATAAGCTGCCGCACTCCCTAGACGAAATCTGCATTGCCACAGCATGTATAGCCGGTGAAATGGTATACATTCTGACATAATGGTATTCAACAAAGAGCAAGTCCCGTGGTGAGCTCTCTGTTGTCTCAGCACCAGGCTCATCAGGAATTTGGCCTAGGTACTTGTGTCGCCATTGACTCAAAATAGGTTTGAAGTGTTCTATCAGCTCGATATGGTTTCCCGCCAACAGCAATTCTCGCATATTTGATGCAGACGACATCATTGAAGCATGTACGGTTTTGGTAATCCTGAGTAGGTCGATCCAGGCTTCTATCGTTTGAGTGGAGGGTCCCGTTGCTCGGCTGAGGATAGACTGACTGAATGGTAGCGGCAGTAACGAATGAAATCCAAGTCTCGCTGCGAGCAGAGTTATGTAGATGAATAACAAGTCGCACACCTTTGTGCGCCGCGCTTCTTCCACTGCATCCGTTTCAACTCCTACTCTCTCTTCTTGCTGGCTTCTGAAAACACCCAATTCGTGAGCCAGCATATGAGCCGAACCCAAGATCATCCAAGACATGCGATCAAATTGCCTACAGGGCTCGATAAAGCCTTCAAGCCAATTGGGTGATTTTGTATGCAGTGAATCATCTGTTATTGAAGGTTCACCATCCCACTCATCATGCGAGTCCATAAACTGCATTGCTTGCGGATACCATTCTGTCAAGAGTAGCAACGCTTCGATCGTGCCAAGAGATCGGAGTCGACGGTTAGAGGCTCTTCCTTGTCCCAGTGAGATCTGCTGCAAGAGTTGTTGAGTATGATGCCAAAGTCTATCATGGATATAGTGTCCTTTAGAGATGGAAGCCGTTCCAGAGAGAGTGTGATATCTGGATGAGATCATCAAAATTGTCAAACAGAGAAAAGGCTCTTGTGAAACAAGTTGACTGTGATTTGCGTGATCGGCAAAGTAATTTGTTAAAATAGGAGATTTTGGAGATAGGTTTTCGAAGAACCTGTTCTAAACTCAGTATCTGAATATTGATGATGAATTGGGAAAGGGGAACTTACGCATCGACGTAATATACTGCCTGTTCTGCAGAGAGCAAGCCCATCCTGACAAATTTGTACGAGGCCCATGGGGATGAGGAATCTATATTAGCGTTGAAGATCCTCCCAAGGCCTACAGATGAAGGATATCTGGGACTTTCAAGAGATATATGTGCCCCTTCTGCGGCGGCCTCGAACAATAAGTTCAGGGGATCGTTCCCCTTGCAGATGAGAGTGTTTATGACGATATTAGTCAAGCGATGGTCTGCTTGCAGCAAACCGGCCGTGGTTGGCAAAGCCTGGCTTTGGTGCCTAGTCGAATCAAGCGGCGGATGCACCAGACCATCCTCGATATGAGAACATCTCAAGCCTTTGACAGTTGAGTCTTCTTGCATGAGACCGGATGAGGGTGATATCAGTTGGCTATATCGTGACATTTGTGAGACTGGAGAACGGGTACTGTTCGTGTGATGACCTTGTTCCGTTGGTTCTCCCGATTGAGTTTGCTCGACATTGGCATCATCTACGCGGTAAAGATCAGAATTGGATCTACTATTTTCATCGCCATCGCTAATTGGTATATCAGGCTGGAGGTTGGCTGGTTCTCTAGATAAATCGCAGGCCGCTGCGTATGTGCCTGATGTTGCAGGAGAGGTGAGATGTGAATCTTTTACTCGATGTAGACTGGTATTGCGCTCTTCACGGAAGACGCATTCGCGGTTTGCACGACGGCATTGCGCACATGGAGGTCCAGAGAAGGCGTACAGGGATTGATCACCGCCACCCAAGTCGCAACGTGTCTTTCTCTTCCGACATGCTTCACAAGCCTTATAACCCCTCTTATACAGTCGGGTCGGTGGGTGGCTTTGTTTGAGTGTTTTTGGCGCCGATGGAGGCATCATAGCTTAGTAGTCGATAAAAGTATTGGGAAAAGGTAAATTCAGAAAATGTGGAGGGTTGTGTTCTGTAGTATTTAAGTAATCGCGCCTCTACTACGGTAGCTGACATATAGCCGCATCATCCTCTAACTAGGAAAGCCCCCTGAGCGAGTGGCTTAGTGTAGCATTATGCTGATTTTAGTACAAATGGAAAAACCTAAACGGAATTTTTTGAAGTTGGTAAACCTGTGTGGTCTATAATGTAAGATGAACTAAAAGGCATAAAACAGCGCTTGTGCACTGGAATACAGAATACAGCGCGTTTAGTATAGGTTGTTTCATTGTGAACGACACACCACGTACATGTATGCTAGTTGCATTTATCCACGCGTAGACAATAGATCAGGCGGTCAGTATTGTATTGTCTATTTTCTACTAATACATCTCCTAGTTTCTTCTTATACCAATGATGTTAATCAGACATAATAGCATCAAAACCTTTTCTGTTACTATATAAGTAATATACGACATTGTCAGTCCAATTGAGCGACCATTTATCTAGCTAGATCTAAACCAGCCACGGCAACATTTACAAAAGAGATTAGGTTCTGAAACTCAAAGGAATTTATAAAACAACTGCGTATATATATTTCATGACTCTCATTTAACAACTCTTCAAAACATTGGATACCAGAATCAATGCTCCAAAGCTTGGCAGGAAAGAGATGAATGTTGTGTTGCGCGATATTACTTATACTGGTGGCGATCCCCATTCCTTTATCTGAGTTTCCATTTTCTCTTTTAGAGACTCCAACGGCAAGGGAACCAGCTTGCTAATGTTTAATTTAGTTTTGAAGAGAGGGTTACCACTCCATTGCATTGCTTCGGTCGTAATAGACTCTGGATTGTCAATGGTGGAACAGATAAAAGATGCCCAACGTTTCTTGGAGTACTTCGAAGCTTCCACTTCTGGAATAAGAAGTGAAAAGTTGTGTGGCATGGCAGAGTACTGCTCTAAAACAACGGGGACACCTTGAGACGCCATTCGTTGCGCCACAAACATTCCTTGATCTGCTAGGCATTCTTCTCCCACGCATATCCATGTGGGGGGTGCACCGCTCCAATCATGTGCGGTGACAGGGGACACCAAAGGATTCATGAGAGCATTGTCATTTGCATAAACATGATGTCGAGGTGGATGAGCAGGCCAAATTTTACAAGGATCGAAAGTCGTAAAAGGCGGGCCTCGTGCGGGTATAATGTCGTATTGTAAGTTAGATTCGCTATCCAGCGCTCGAGTTAGGTCATTATATGGGGATAATATGGAAACCCCAGCAGGAACTGGCAAGTCTCTTTCTTGGCCATCCCAAGTCAGTCTACCCGACGCATTTTTGGACCCCTCTCTGGTGATCTCCAAGATAAGTTGAACCAGGGCAATGGCAAGGTTCCCCCCAGCGCTGTCACCGGCGAAGCATATGTCACTGGCTGCAACTGGAGCGTGCAAGCTGCCAGCAGGGGGATACAGAAGATATAGATATGCTGCTAGACCCTCAATCAATGCGGTTGGGAAAGGATTCTGCGGCGAAAGTCGATATCGTACGGCGAGGCATCGCCCGCCAGTATCCCGGGAGAGCTCATGAGTAATTCGTCTTGGTTCTCGCCCCATCCTCCTGCGAAAGGTATTAGCGCAGGATCAGAAATAGACAATGGTGAAAGTGGTACCAGAACTGCCCGCCGTGGAAATACAGGATCGTAGTTTTATTTTTGACCCCACGCATCATTGTCGCATACAGCCTTTCGGGAGTGTCTGTGTCTGAGGCTGTTCTGTCAGAACTGGGACGATGACATATCCACTCCATAGACACCGAAGGTAGTTTTATGTCTGGAATGCTTTCTTGACCATCGCCGAGATTTCTAATTGCCTTGAATGCAATAGCAATGATATTTGTCTCAAATGCCAGAGTTAACTTCGTCGATACAAGATATATACGCTCCTGTACATCCACATCTCGTAAAGAGTCTTGTTGGCAGTCAATGAGTCTCCCAGGCTTCAAGTTACTTGTCGATGATCGCACAAGAGCCAGAAACACTGCAGTCTTTAGGTCAAGGAGCGTAGCAGTTGGGGAGAGCCGCAAACAGTGAAGGACGGCTGCTTTAATCAGCACTATAACATACGCGAAACTCGAGTAGGCTGGCATTTTTGCTCTAGGTTTACCAAGAGCACTAGGCAATTCTAGACTTTGTTCAGAGAAATGAAAGAGATTAGTTTGGCTCTATATGGTTGGTGCATTGGCAAATAGCCAAAAGGTTCGGGAGAGCAGACCTCTACAATCTCCGTCGGATATCCACGGAGACCAGCGTGGTTAGCTTCCAGAAATCTGGGCCGACGGAGGTGCCTCCGCCGGGAAATATTCCTAGCATCATCAATTGACCATGCGCTAAAACAATTTCGCCACAGCTGTCCGAAGCATACCTGATATACCAGAAGAGATAATTGGATTTTGCAAGCGGCTAAGCACAGAAACGTGGATCATTAAAAAAGTAAGTGCTTGAACTTACGTACGCTCCGTCGGGACCTCCAATGCTTCGTCGCAGTTCCCCAGAAGAGCCATTACCCCACGGGGAATGTGGATAATGATCTGGGGCACCAAAGCTTTTTAAACCGATGCTCATCGTTCCAGACCTTGTCTTGCTTCTCTTGAAGTATATTCACTTCAAACCGAATACCTGCCTCTTTGTCATAAACTTGGTGAATAATTTCTTGTTTATCATGGCCCAAGATATCGAGACAGAAAAACCCATAGTCAGGGAAGTGTCCAAAATTGCAGAAGAAAAGCCGGCCTTTGCAGATGCAGCACTAAGCTTTCTGCATGAAGTGGGAGAGTTAACATTCACGGAAGATGAAGAAAAGAAACTTGTTCGAGTCGTTGATTGGATGATTTTGCCACTGCTGGCCGCTGTATACTTTTTACAGTTTCTGGACAAAAATCTCAGTACATTTAGATCCTCCCAGATTCTCTTCCAAACCCTCGTTTTATCAGAAATCCTAACCACGATTTAGTCAATTTTGCGAACATCATGGGCCTCGGAAAAGATACGAATTCTACACCATCTCAATTCTCTGACCTTGCACTAGTATTTTATGTCGCTTACCTCGTTAGTGAGCCATTGAGCAGCTTTCTATTACAGAGGCTGCCAGTGGCGAAGCTTTTAGGCATAAACGGTATATTACACCTTCAATTGTTAGAAAATTTCTAATTTGGTACTCCAGTCATCTTATGGGGGCTGTGCCTGGCCTTGAATAGTGTATGCAAAACATATGCTTCACTGGTCGCATTGAGGGTGCTGTTGGGAATTTTTGAAGCTTGCGTGTCGCCCAGGTATACAAGTTCTAAGATAGCTACCAGAACTCGAGAGACTGATATTTGTCTATTCTAGCATGATCATAATCAGCTGCATGTGGTACAAGAGAAGAGGTTTGCGCCATCCACTCAAGTTTTTAACCTATTTTTTGACATGCGCGCAGAGCAACCCCTCCGAATCGGCTTCTGCTGTGGGACAGTCGGACTTGGCATCATTGTTGGAGCATTATGCTCTTATGGCTTCCAGCATTACCACGGCAACGTTTTCAAAAGCTGGCAGGTAAGTTTCTTCATTGAGAGTGTAGAGTGATTTTTTAACCTTTGTCTGTGGCAGATCATGTTTCTCGTCTTTGGCCTTGTCACTATTGCGGTCGGCATTTTGCTGCTGATATTTTTGCCAGACAATCCAATGACCTCGCGACTGAGCAACAGACAAAAGGCAATCGCCATCATCCGACTGAGAAACGATACTACAGGGATTGAGAATAAGACCTTCAAACTTTCGCAATTTCTCGAAGCTCTTCGTGATCCCCATACTTGGTTAATATGTCTATTGACCACTGCCATTAACATACCAAACGCCGCCGTAAGCACATTTCAGGCAACGATCATTCAAGGGTAAGTGAATCTCGCTTATCTCGGCTTCCTCACTAACAGAAAAGCCTTGGGTACACTGCAACGCAAGCTGCCTTAATTAGCATCCCGAGCGGTGTCATCGGGATAATAGCCATTTGGGGGGCGTCATATACATCGTTCAAGTTCAACAATAGATCGGTGGTAATAATCTTACTAGTTGCAGCCGGAATTCTTGGCGGTGGTCTTATGGCTTTTTTGCCTAGCCAGGAGAAGGTTGGTAGACTAATTGGAACATATCTCACTAATACTATTCCATCAAGTATGTTCAGTTCTGCTGAGGGCTATAACTTTACGCTGACTTATTCACCAGCTACGCCAATTATTTACTCCTGGGTTGCCGCAAATATTGCCGGACACACCAAAAAAATCACAGTTAATGCAATGCTTTTGATGTAAGACTATCTTCCACGAATTTAACAACTTTGACTAAATTTTCACAGGGCATTCTGCCTAGGAAACATCATAGGTATAGCGTACGTAATTGGTGAGAAAATTAAGAAGCTGATCGTTATAGGCCCACTGACGTTCACAAACCCACCGGCGTATACTGCAGCGAAGATTACAATTGTTGCCGTTCTATGTTTTGCAGTGGCTATTGCGCTTCTTTTAGTCCATCTCTACCACCGAAATAATGTACGGCGGATGCTTCTCAGCTCCGGGGATAACAGCCAAGCAACTGCCGACAGTTCTTTTCTGGATCTTACCGACCAAGAAAATGAAAACTTCATAGTAGGCTATTGCCCTTTCTCAAGACGCAAACTATATCATAACATGCTGATTTTTTTCTTAGTATATACTTTGACATCTTTCAGAGTTCTTCAAAATTAGAGAGACTATACTTCGAAATTCTATCGTTGTTTGGTCCAATTGTACATTTTGCCACTGGATAATCCTACCGTTAAGCCTCTACCGGAGGGTTACTACAATCGGGTGAAAACTCTAGACTTCTCACTTATTTTGTATTACCTTCAAACAGTTGTGCCGGGTTGCGTTGCCGTTGCATATTCTCCCCAAAGGGTTGTATCGTAAAATCTTGGTGAATGCCTGCTGCTACTTGTGGAGGCTAATATGCTCGTGGCTCATTTCGTATGGTTAATCAAGCTTCAGACTGATAATGCTATTGGGGCTTTTTTGTAAGATACCAGTACCTTATTGAGGAACAAGATGTCTTCGTATTTGTTAGTATATATGCTGGAGACTTATTCCGTAACAATGACGCTAGATTTGTAATAAAATTAGAACAATGATATAGCAGATAACTAGCTAGTATACTGTGTGGTTTCTAATTAATAAGTCTTCCAACTTTCTCTATTCCTTAAGAGGGAAAGAAGGTGATTCCAACGTGTATTGAATAAGAAGTATGTAATTGTAATCAAGATGGCAAGTCGTCGGAATATTCGGACATTCCTCTTCCTACGGCCTTGCAAAGTCCATGATACATTCCAGTGAGACCATGTAGGATAGAGACATGTCCAGCTTTGCCACAACATGCTATACCTGTGCAATCTATGTCAGGATTCAGTCTGTTGGCATCATGTAGAAGTGTCAACTCACGGATAGTTGACTGAGTTGTGACCATCGCTGGAGAGGTACCAACTTGAACAGCCGCCGCTATTCCAAACCATATTCTTCAACGCGGCCTGTATTTCTTGGTTGTATGATAACGCTGCCTCTGTTTTTAAATTAATCTTGGAAATATCGTTCTGTAATAGTGGGCGGATGAGCTTAATAGCATGGGTGATCTGGTTTTCAAGGCCCAAAATGACGCTTGAATGTCCGCTAAACGAATTTGGGCCAAACAAGGCAAAAAAGTTCGGAAATCCATCCAACGCAGTACCTTTATACATCTGAGGACCTCCTCTCTTATCAAAGACAGAGTTCAAACTTTTTTCGTCTAATCCGACTACCATTAGTGGGTGGAACCAACTGCTTACTTCGAAGCCGTTGGCAAGGATAATAACATCACATGGTATTTCTCTTTCTTCCATCTGAGCTTCCGATGGATGTGTCTTCCGAGATGGCGCCAGGATCGCAGCGGTGCTGTTTACACTTTTGAGCCCCAGAGTAGTGAGTTCGAGCCGGGGATCAGATAGACTTGGGAACCAATCGGTGTCGAATATCCGGCGCTTGCAGCCGACATCGTAATTGGGGGTGAGAATTTGGTGATACTGTAAAAAGCAATGAATCAGCGCCCATCAGGTTGACCCATCTTGTTGTGTAGAGAAACCCACTTTTGTTGGAGCTGTCTTGTGAAGATGAGCAAGTAAATCGTCTCGTAGCTTCTCCCGTGCTCTTTGGCTGGACTCTGACGCGCCAAAATAAGCAAAAGTAGCATCAATTTGAATGGCGACAATCTTTCGAAGAAAGTTCATCAGACCGGGGATTGTGCTGAATAGTCTTGGCGCAAGCTTGTTCCAGCCTTCGTCCCCAAATGGTGGTGTTAATCTTGGAACAACCCAAGGCGCCTCTCGCATTACTTGGGTCACTCTCTTGACACCCCTTTCAGCAAGAAGTTTTGGAACAATCTGAGCCGCGCTGCATCCTGTACCTACCACCAGAACGTTCTTTCCAGAGAGGTTAACATTCTCATTCCATCTGGCTGAATGAAAAATTTCACCCTGAAACTTGTCATGGCCTGCAACATCTGAGGGCCAGCCTCGTGGTTCCACCAGGCCCCCAACCGCACTAACAAGTACTTTGCACCGTACGATCTCTGATGAGATATAGACCGAATCGGGGCCATCAAGATTTGCCCGCTTTTGCCGTTCTGCCGCAGAGAGGTCTCCCATACCAGGAACCAGATGGCGAACGGTTATTTCCCATTCATTCTTAAAGTCATCCCACTGACAGTGGACAACGTCAGAATTCAGCTGTATCTTGTCGATAAGCTGATATTTTTCGACAATTGATTGCTGATACCGCAGTATTTCTTCTCCACTAGGGAAGAATGATGACCAGTTCGGATTCTGATGAAAGGAAAACGAATAAAATATTGCTGGGCTATGCCACAGATGACATTAATCTCCAGGGTGCCGGCAAGAACTTCATCAAAAACAGGACTTACATGTCACATGCGACACCAGGGTATCTGTTTATCCACCAAGTCCCTCCAATGCCGGACTGGCGCTCAAAAAGACGAAACTGATCGAAACCAAGCTTATCTTTCAGTTGGCAAGCCATACCAATGCCCCCCATACCGGCTCCTAGTATGACCATTGGATAGAAGGTATTGTCCGAGGATCCATATCCCCGAGGTTTCGACGGTGCAAGCATTGTGTCAACTCTGGAAATATTCCAACAAACAAAGCAGTTTAATTGTAAAGCCCCAATCTCACAAAAAAGGGTTATCAGTCTATGGTGTAGATTGCTCCCTATATAACTTGGACGATGCATGTACATATCGTTCACTCTTTGACCTCAGCTCCCATCGCCTATTGCAGCAACCGAGGCATGCAGTAGTTATCTCCACAGGGCAGATTTCGGAGTCGTCTTGCGGAAAGATGGAACTCACGGAACCCGAAATGTGGTTAACTCATATAAGTAAGTATCGAAAAGGAGAAGGCTGTTAACAGTATACGAATGCCGACTCCAAGGACTAACTTATCTTATCTTGCCGCGCTTCAGTTTCACTAGTTTCCGCATCGTTGATCTAGCCGCCTGAATACTACATGACTTGTCCAATGTTTAGTTCACCGATCACAATAGCCCGGCAATCACTAGCTTCTCTAGATTCCGTAAACCCGACACTGCCGTCACGCGGGGAAATGCGGAGAGAATCTGGAGATAGAGCCACTCTCCAGTCGGCTAGATTCACGATTCAAGTGTTCTATATCAGCGGAGCACAGTGCGCATGAACTATCCTGGAGTGGTCTGGAACAAACATGGAGAGGGAGGATATCTGCTATGATCCATCACTTCATTATCGCTCCTTAGAAATGTGGCGTTTTTGATAGGCATTTTCATAATCTATACTACACATGGAATTGTCGGAGGAATGATATATATCAAAAGAACGGGGTTATATCGTCATATTTGGCGCCTTATCTTTGGCGCAAAAAAAATGAGGAGCTGAGTGTGAAGCTGTATCAATGATTATTAACTCGTTGATTGATCAACCCTTGAACCTTTTTCTTCCCGGATTTCTCTATTGCGTTCCATGCGATATTTCTTTTCATTTCGAGATCCCAGGCCTCCCAAAGCATATCTTTGTTCTCTATCTCTTCACTCAACAGCCTAATTACAATGCAAAAAGACATGCTAGAAGCAAATCACGTCGAGAGCGTAGCAATGCCATTACATTCGAAACCATGTATTTTCCTCCCAGAATCCTACTCTTAATGCACTCTAACTCTAATAATTCCTTCAGATATACCAAAGAACGACGGCATTGCTGCAGATACGTCGATTCAACTCTCCCAATCCCATGACAGTCTTCGAAATGGCGAAACAGTTGAAATGACAAAAAACCTCAGCACTTGGACTTTGATTGCTATTGCTTTCAATGTTTGTAATAGCTGGGCTGGCCTCGCTGGCAGCATGGGAGTTGCTCTCATTCAAGGAGGCCCCGTGTCTCTAGTGTATGGGTTCCTTATAAGCTCTAGCTTGTATGGCTGCATAGCTTTAACTATGGCAGAGCTGGCGTGTGTATATCCTACCGCAGGAGGGCAGTACCACTTTGTTTCTATCCTTGCCCCGAGCAAGTATTACAGAAGCCTGTCTTATACCTGTGGCATGGTCACAAACTTTTCTTGGATTGCCATTGGTGCAGCTATTAACATGATTTTCAGCGAGCAACTCATTACATTGATCATGTTTTACCATTCGACATTTGTCCCACACCCGTGGCACCAATTCCTTCTGTATCAGTGTTTCGGCTTGGTTATATTGCTGTATAATCTCTTGGCTCTGAAAAAATTGCCTGTTACGCATTACTTTGGATGTAAGTCTCTCTCCATATCAACAATATGTTTTGACACTATTCATTTTATGTTATTATTAACTCTAATTAGTCTTTCTCTGCATCTCTGTCTTCTTTGGTTCATTCTTTGCTATGCTTATCCGATCCTCACCAAAAGCACCTTCAAATTTCGTGTGGACTACATTCATCAACCAGACTGGTTGGCCAGATGGAGTTTGCTTCATGTCTAGTCTGCTTACGACGTGCTTCATTTACTCGGGTCTTGATGCTTCTTTACATCTTGCAGAGGAAGTACCCAATCCTCGAATTGCCGTCCCACGTGCTTGCTTAGGTGCAATCGGCATTGGCTTTTTGACGGCATTTGCGTATCTTATCGCAATGTTATACAGCATCGTGGATCTAGACTCTATTATTAATTTTGATGGGTCTGCTCTTTTTACCTTGTATGATCAATAAGTCAGTTTATTAACAAGAAACCAGATTTCTACCGTTCGAACTCAATCGACAAGCACTCCGTTCTGATAGCGGAGCAATCGCTATTCTCATATTGAGCATTGTAATGACGTTCTTCATTCTAAATGCGGTACTCCAAACGGCTTCCAGGTTAACATGGGCATTGGCAAAAGATGATGCCCTTATGTTTTCCAGCATTCTTCAGAAATTGCATCCTAGTCTTGGTGTGCCTGTTTCATCACTGCTGGTTAATGCAGTATCGCTAGCCTTGTGTGGATGCATATATCTGGCATCCTCTACTGGTATGAAGATGATACCTATAATACCCATAACCCGTTACTAGTCACTGATATTTCTTCATGGCGGATAGCCTTCAACGCAATCCTAGGCTCCTGTGTCGTGCTCCAGCAATGGTCTTTTTTAATGCCAACTGTGCTTCTCATCTACCGCCAAAGATCCGAACAATTTTTACCTCGGGATCGAACTTTCCGCCTCCAAGGATGGATTGGCTGGCTCGTGAACATTTGGGTAATTGTCGTAATTTTAGCATCAATGGTCTTCTTCTTTTTGCCACCAATTCTACCAGTGTCGGCTAATACAATGAGTAAGTCTTCCCCATAACCCAGCGTATAATTCCAGTGAAGAGAACAAGAAGATGGAGAACAAGAAAGGCTAACATATAATAGACTATAATTGTGTTATAATCTTGGTCGTCTTTCTTCTCAGCGCTGCAAACTGGTATATCTACGCAAAACGCCACTATGGCGGTCCACGGGTCATTCTACATAGCTGAAGGGGAACTGAAGTCAATGAGGCAGCCACTAAAGATAACAAATAAGACCTGTCTACAATATATTTGTAACATTCTTTTCTCCACGTGCGCTTCTAAATTTATTCAGCTATTCCTTTAAACAAGCAAAGGGCATAATGTTGCCTGTCATCCACTCCTATGAGAAAAGTCTAACGCCATATTGTACCCTCAGTGATGTCGACCAACAGATAGATCATGCTTAGTACATGAGAATATGAAATTTTATTTAGGCGATACTGACTCCCTTTTAACCTCAACCTCAATCTCAGTATTCATAAATGGCATCTGTAAAGCATCCATTTCCTTTGTTTGCTAAGTGAGAGGCTTACGGAACATACATCCTAATATTTAGAGCTGAGGTTGAGCTGCTAGTTCATCAGCGACCTCTTTGGCAACCCGTTGTCCAGCCGTGATAGCACCCTCCATGTAACCCTTCCACTCGTATGCCGTCTCTCCACCCCCAAAATGAATACTTCCCACGGACTCCCTGAGAACTGTGCCAAACTTTTTCAGCATACCGGGGCCTAAGGCGCTAGTCGGTGCACCACCGATATATTCTTCCTTTGTCCACTCTACCATGTTAAACTCCAGGATATTGCGGGCTTTTGCTGCAAGCGAAGAGTTCTCTCCCACAAGCGTTGCCAGATGCTCAATGATGGCTTCTTCGCGCGCTAATTCATCCAACTTATGCCACTCACTAGCGACTTTTCCGGCAACAAAAATTGCCAAGCTGTATTGTTTCTTAGAAAGATCGCTAATATCCCAGCTGAAACATATGGGGCCAATGACTGATTCAAACTTCCCCACAAGCCCTGCATCTCGCCACCACGGAGACGAGTATGTCAAGATAGCCTTTGCATATATACCTGGCTTTGTTCGAGTGACGAGAGCTTTCTTGGTAGGCGGCAATGGCGGGGTAAATTGAATGTTTGTATATGTGTTTGTTGGGATAGCAATGATGACTCTTTTAGCCTTGTAGGTTGCGCCACTGCTGGTTGTGACGTGAACCTCATTCCTGGCATACTGAGAGATGCTGTCAACTGGGCTGTGAAGCATTACAGAACCAGCAGGTAGGGTATTTGCTAGAGCATCAACTATAGATGATGTACCTGAACACAGACTTTTAGTATCCAACTAACCCGCTCAAGCGGGAGAACTCACCGGTCTTGATTTTGAGGGACTGGGCTCCTTCCTCGCCTTCGCTTACGATACTCATGTAACCATAGCAAGATTTGAGATAGTCCAAGAAGTAGTGTGCTCCAACATCCTCGGGCTCACGGCCGACAACTGCAGAGCACAATAAACGACAAGTCGCCTCAACGGCAGGGTTATCCGCGAGTCCTTTTTGGGCTACCCATTCAGCCAATGTGACATCCTCCTCTTCCGGAAACTCGTCAAAGAGGCGGATATTACACTTTTCGGCAGCTTCAGCCATGAGAAGAATAAACTTTTGCACCTGTTGAGTATTCTCCTACAGCATAAATCTTGTTAGCTTGGTGGACAGCAGACGGTAAGTAGCAAAAACTGGGGGGCTCAACGCATTCTTACATTATGAGCTTGATCCATGTTACATCTATAGATTCTCCCATCGTATCCTTGGTAAATCTGATCGCCTTCCGTGTATTGAGCTTCAGTTTCCAGTCCAAATTTCTGCGTCAGAGCATATATGGTGGGTTGTGTCTTCTTATTGATCCATGTTGCACCAAGCTCAACAACGGCATTCGGATTGGTTTTAAGTCGTTGAGTTCGACTGCGACCTCCAATACGATGTTTGGCTTCCAAAAGAATGACCGAGTATCCAGCTTGGTTTAGTTCGTATGCAGCCATGATGCCTGAGAAGCCGCCGCCAACCACAACGACATCGGTCTCAATGGTCGGTGTAGAAATTGTGTCGCTTGAGAGCTTCTGGATCATATCTCTCTCTGCAAGCCACGGGCGAGAAGCATTGCCAACGCTAGCGATCGCTTCAATCTCAAACTTTGCTTCCGGGAACGCAAGTTTGGGAACCGGTACGAGCGTCGTCAACGGTTTATTGGCAGAACCATATTTGTCTGTGAGGAGAGCCAAGACTGGTGCAATGAGGTCATTAGCTGCGGAAAGTTCCCAGTCAACGACGTAAAAGCGAAGATGAACAATGTCTCGAGGGAATGCGCCAGCGGCTTTAAGAACTTCCTCCAAGTTAGCTACAGCTTGTTGGATCTGCTCTGCCACAGATGACGGCCAGGTGCCATCGCCGCGCTGGGCAACCTGTCCAGATGTGCGGATGGTTCTCCCAGCACCCTCAATGCTTATGCCATGAGAGTACCATTGCGGATCGGAAAGACTAGTGGGATTCACGAGATTGGAGCTCGGGCGAGTGTCTCGTGGTGCCATGATGATTGGAAGGTAAAGAATAGCTTAGAGGAAATTTTGCGATATAGAACAATTTACTTGCAATGCTCAAATTGTGTTTAGTTGATCCTTGATATAGCGGATGCCAGCCCTTTCATATATACTCGAGAATCACTCAACACGACGTTTCGAGCGAGTTCTACATTGGTGATGTTCCAATAGACGTAGTTATTGCTCACACTGTTCACAAATTGATCATGATAGTTGCCGGGATCTTGAATATGGGCACAGGAAGATCTAATCTAAACTATTTCTTCCTTAGTTCAATGTTATCTAGCCGCGATTACGTCCAGGGTAAACGAGCCGGCAGTCGCAGACTCTCGCTCTGCACTAAACTATGAGGCACAGTGCAACCGTTTCTAGCCTCGTCGACTGTATCACTCTCTCCATACTCTGCCCCGCTTTCCGAAGCTTCCAAGAGATTTGTTGATTCAAGCACACCCCGCCTAACACTCAGCTTGAGGTGTCTCATTCGCATCGGTTAATCTTGATAGGTCCACATGACCCATCATCCTACCGAGGTCTGTCAATTCAAGGTACATTGACCATCCCTTGACCACAAAGTCCCAGCAAACGCAATTTGTTGACATCTTGATACAGCCAAGGCGACGTCACTTCGGCCACTTCTGCTCGCAGTCCGCGGGTCTGCGCGGGTCCCGAGAAACCCTTTACCTGACATGAACAAATCGGGGAGGATTCTAATACGGAGTAGCGGACATCCAAACTCAACATCTAACCTGAAATCTCGCCAAATATGCAGTGTAGAAGGCGGCCCTATGATTACTCCAAACCGCGACCAAACTACCCACGGTTCAAGACAGGATGCTTATCTTGCCGCCTGCGAAAGAAGAAATGTGACGAAGTAAAGCCGAGATGCCGGGCTTGTTGTCGAAACCACCTTGAATGTCAATGGCCCGACCTCTCTGGAGGAACCAGCCAGCCAAACAGTGGCAGCAAGCCGGCTGGCCGAGGAGCAGTTGTGGAACAATTGCCTATTGTACGAGCCGAGACACAATCATCTTCTCCAATATCGACACTCTTGCGTCGCCAACCCCCTACTCATGATCTCCCAATACCAGGGACAGCGTGTAACCTCACACAGGTGTCCATTACATTGTTACAGCACTATTCTGAATACACCGCCGGCCTACTTTGCACATCTCCTCCAACCAAAAGCCCTTTCATCACCGTCGTCCTTCCACTGGCTTCCACTGATGAACTTATTATGCATACGATCCTAGCTCTAAGCGGCACGCATTTAGAGTGCAGACAATCTGTTCGGAATTCTGGCTCCATTGGAAGTGTTGATCTCGAAATGCAGCGTGCTACTGCTCTCCACTATCAAAACACAATATCAGGCCTGCGGCGGGAATTGCTCAACTTCGATTCCGCAAATGACCGGCAACAAGTGAGGCTCTTGTTAATCCTGATTATTGCTTGTCATTACGAAGCTATATCTGGCAATAAGAGCGGAATGATGCTCCAGCATTTGCGTGCTAGTCGAGAGATAGTCAGGCGACTTCTCACTCAACCTCAAAGAGTTAATATTGACCAAGATTCTCTGGGTTTTAGCCTTGAACTCTACGCTTACTTGTCCATCGTCAACTCACTCGCATCTTATCGAAGTATTGGAAAGCTTGCTCAGCCATACGACACGTTTTTGACTTCGTTGGATGAACTGAGCAGCTACTCGACATTTGGCTCAATGTTTGGCGGTTGTCACTCACTATATGAGCTTATTCCCCGCATTAGTCAGTTAGGCGTAGAATATCTCGCAGGACAGAGTATTCTTGGGGATGACTGGATACCTGGTGCCGAACTTCAGTCATGCTATAAAGCAATTCAACAGCGCATTATTACTTGGACGATGCCGCCATCCGCAGACTCTTTGGATCAACATGAGAATAGCGATATTACAACAGCCGCAGAAGTTATCCGACATGGTCTCTATATATATCTTATGACTTCTTTTTGTGGAGCAGGTCGGCCAGACCCAATTTCGCAATTACAAATTGAAGCTCAGGTCGACATCGTCCTGGCTCTAGCCAGTTCAGTAAAAAATATGAGAAGCAGGACAATACTACTGTGGCCATGCATTATAGCCGGCTCCTGCATGACCAAAGAGGAACAGCAAAAACATCTGAAATATGAATTACTACATTCAGGCTTTGACATGAAGCACTTATTCAGTTTGAGTGAGATGCTAGAGCGAATGTGGAGAGATGATGATGCGAGGGCGTATGGCCCGTACGGGCTATACTTAACGATGGAAAAGAGTAATCACTACATACCTATTATGTAGGTATATAGTTACATTTTTCACAAATAAGAAAGTCAGTGGCGATTAAGTAGCCAAGTAAATTATGAAATCTTTTCCTATAATAAAGATCTTGTTCACACATTTTGTCTCTCATATGCATAGAATTTGGATAAGAAAGAAAGAAACACAAAACTAGCAGTTTCTTTCTTTTCTTCAATGCGGCAAATCCCCTTCAACCCTAAAGAAATAAAACGCATACACGCTGATTTTTAAGATGCATGGTGTCCGGAAAACTGCTCCAGTTTCTCCCGAGCACCCTGTATTTCCTTCATAAGAATCCTGCTGCAATTTGATGGTCTCCATCAATGAAACCGCAACGCACATATGAAGTGGAGCCGTCTACGAAAGAGTGAGAGAAACTAGAATGAGCTGGACTTGAATGGACAAAGTTCACATAATTCCCTGTTTGACACAAGCCAAAGGCACAAGAGATAAAATGTCAGTAAGCCTATATGAGTGTAATAGTGAATTCTTATCTTGAAGAAGACACGCTGCTTGAAACTAGATGCAAATATCGGCAACGGGTATCTCTGTTAGGAACATCTGACCATCTTCATACTCTGCCTAACCACCAATAACCGCTAACTGACAGTCGCCCAACCTTGGGAAAGATCAGTCAAAGAGTGGTCAGCTTTCCGCCATAGATCAAAATTTCATTCTTGTCTGCAATGTTGCTCTTCATGCCTCGGCAGGTTTTTCCTTCAGAAGCGTCCGTCACGTCGGCAAAACCTGTCGTAATCCACTAAGCAGAGGCGGCATCTCAACAGCGGTAGAGTTGGCCACAATATCTCTTTTCCCTTCTGCACCAGCAATTGACCGCGACTGTCTCCTGCCAGTATCAAATATCGTATCAATCTCTTCCAAAGATTTCCCTTTGATTTCAACCCAAAAGTACCACTGCTGTTTGTCAGTCGTATGCATAAGCACAATCGGGGATGACCACAGCTCACAATCAGCGCCACCATCCCAACATCCCACGACGCATTGATAATATACATCTTCCAGCCAATAGTTTGGAGTGCGATGGGTGTAACTAGCACCAATATGGTGCTGAAAGCGGTGTAAGCCAATATCACAAGCTTGCAAGCTGTGGCGATCAAAACTTACCCACAAAGGTTTTGGCCAAGTTGCGTAACGGCTACGGTGTGAGCGCGAATCAAGAAATTCGCAATCTCTGGTGGATAGAGACTGAACAATGGCGTCCATGCAATGGAATAGATGCCTTGAAAGAGGAACATTACGGCTACGTTGCCATAGACCAAAGCTTTTGAGGCGTGGTCCGGATCTTCGGCGTACTTTTTCGTGAGAAGGCCGATGGTCAAAAGACAGGCAACCAAAAGTGCTTCAGTAATAATGGCAGTCGACTTTCGTCCCCAGCGAGATATGAATTGTGTCCCTGCAAGTGCGCAAGGAAGGCACCATGCATTTAGGACAATGTTCTGAATGATAATACGTCAGTGCATGCTTGGGTACTTTGCTGCTATGACGAGTTTATTTACCGCCTTCAATTGAGATTTGATATTTGTGATACCCGCAGTCTTTAGCTCGGCGCCAAGATAGAATGTTGCGATAACGTTTCCAGCTGTTGAAGCAAATATTCCCGTCGATGAGCCAATCAGGAGCCGTCTTCTTGCCACAGGGTCTTTGGCAATGCCCCAGATTGTCATATTGAGCTTCTGCGAGCGCTCTAACTCAATGCCCTTGACAATCTGCTCGTATAAAACATTTGATGCCGGATCTTCAATGTTGCCATTAGAGCTAACAAGAGCAACCGCAAGCTGCGCTGCTTCGTGGTGGCCACGATAAGCCAACCAACGTGGCGACTCAGGACTACGCATTTTAGCTAGAGCTCCTCTAGCCTGAGGAGAGACAGATGACAAACATGAATGGCAGAAATCCAATACTGAATACAGAGAAGATGCCTTGGGCCACGGATGGGAGCCTCCAGGCCCACGACGATTCCCAGGAGCTCGTGCTGAGAGTAATGACCGCAATGATTAAAGCACCGACGCTTAGAGTCTAGTTAGAATCCAACCCCAGTTGGTGAAGTGCACTTACTAGTAGAAGTTGTTCAGCATACTAACGCCCCATAATCGCCACGTATTTGGAAACGTCTCAGACAGGTACGTTCCGCTTGCAATATTGGCGATCGCAGTTCCAAACCCGACTAACACTCTGGCCACAATAAACATAGCAACATTTTGAGCTCCCGTCTGAATTGCCATACTGGCAATTGCAATTAGACTGCCCCAGAATATTGCAGGGCGGCGACCGAAACGATCGCACAGCAAGCCAGAGCAGGGCGTTGCCAGACAGCCACCAATAAAAATTGCGGCGGTGTGCAAACCTTTTGTCGTATCATTAAGTTCAAAATAATCAATGTATGCGGGTAAGATATTAAGCCCATTGAGCATTGATCGGTAAATTCCATAAGTCTAATTCGCATGAGTAAGATCCATAGTGATCATACAGCAGAGCCATTGAGCCACACACAGTAGAGATTGCCATTGAAGAAGTCATAAGCAGAATTACCACCGCATTAGATGATACTGGGACATAGGCAGGGAGCCATGTGCCGGATTCAGCTTTTCTAAGCATGATGGCAGCGTTGAAGGTCACACAATACGCTGCAATAATGATAATGAAGTTTTTGTGGCCATCCAGAACTGCTGAACTTGACAATACAGATGCGCTTTTAGAGAATTTCGGGCGTTGCATCGACTATGAGGGACGTCGCGATCATATAGAAAGCCATGTTCCGAGATCGGCGCGAAGTCGGAGAGTGGGTGCAGTTGTTGATCTCTGTTTCGAGTAGCTCGGATACAATTGCCGGCGTAGCGGGCGTCTCTCGGTCAGAGGTAAAGGGATAATACGAGGTGCGTTTGAGGCCGACGATATTCCACACAAGTCGTGGAATGCAACCGACAGTACTTAACTGGCTAGTGGTACTGTCTGCTCTGCCCAAGAACTGTGCATCTGATTCCAATAGCCATGTCAGCTTGTTGCTGTCCTTTCTATGCTGAGATCCTTAACAATATGATGGACTCTCTGATGTTACATTTGGGAAATCATGGTGCGGAGCCCACGATAGGATTCGGTCTCGGTCCCTTCTGTCTTCCGAATTTCCGTTGTTCTTCACGGGAGCTCTGTCATATAGACCGAGAGTGTATATTAGTATTTCATACCTAGGATGGTGAACACGAAAGAAGTGATACCGAGGTGCGAGGTATACCGCGTCAGTATACAGTTGGCTATAATAAACCTAACAGTTGCTGTCTGAAGGCTATGCTATAGGTCCATGTCTCCAGCTTGTAGGTTCCTTAGATAATGAATAGAAGATTTTTTATAGGTCTCCCGGTTACACCTTGTGTTGAAGATATTTACAAATATAGAGGTTATATTTCTTACTTAGCCAAGAGGCTTGATGAAGCTGTATTAGTTGGCGTTTTATGACCTGATTCTATTGATAGCTCGGGAAGATAGTTTTAAACTCCTGTGACTATTGTCTTAACACAACACAACTAACACAACTACCCAGCTTGACTTACTACCGCAAAAACTACGGAGGTAGCACGAGCTTATAGTTATATTACATCTAGGTAGTCCACCCGCGTTTGTGCGAGAGCGAAGTCACCAGCCGACTGTAGACTGTGACAGAAGTAGTAACATAGATTTATTCTTGCTGGTCGTCGTCAACCAACTGACATTCAATCACACATTGCAATCCCCATGGTACAGCGTCATGTGTGCTACATTGCCTCATTGAGGCGTGCGTGGATGACTCTGTCATGACTGTTTTATACTTTCGATAGAGCCCTGCAATTAGCAATTTGATCTCAATAGTAGCAAGTGCCTTTCCTAAACAGACTCTTCCGCCGTATCCAAAGGGGATAAGTTGATTCAATCTCCTGTTTAGCATCTCCTCGTCTCCTTCAAGCCATCTTTCCGGCAAAAAATGATCTGGATTTGGGAATATATTTTCATCTCGATGAAGTGCTGCGACTGAGTTTGTGACTATGGTTCCTTCTGGAAGATAAATGTTTGACAAAGTACGCCCGCCTTTTGGAACAAGGCGCTCAGAACGTCCACTCGATGCCGGATGGAGGCGATATACTTCTCTCAAGCATGCTTCCAGAGATGGGACTTGGCTGTTGACGTCGGCAAATGAAATAAGGCCATTCTCTTGTACTGCCAATGCATTTAATTCTTTTCGTATTTTCTGCTGCCATTCTGGATGCTAAGTCAATTTCCAGACAAGATACGTGGCAGTTACCGCAACAGTAGCCTCGGCAGCATTAATATTGTCGAGAATCTCTGCCTCAACGTATAAGTGGTCAGTCGACAGCTTTGGTCTGACATTTTGGAGGTTTGCGAGGATGTGTTGGAGGAGCGAACGCGAATTATCAAAATCGGGGTCTTTCATTGCTGCGGAAATGCGTTGTTGACACCATGATGCGAGTCTATCCTCTGCCTGAAGGTATGCCAGCCCTGGGCTCAGCGTATCCAGTAGTTTTGAGGCGTAATCACAAAAAATCGGGCAACGAAGGCGAAGTGGCCCAACAAATTGTAAGTGTTTTAGATCCATAAGTATTTGACGCTCTAGACAAACGTTCTCCACAGACTGGGTGCAATGATGAGGACCTAACACCAAGAATGTGATAATATCAAGAGCGTAACAGTCGGTGAGACTATAAATGTCTACTTGCGTACCAGGGCGGATCTGCCTCAGGACAGTCTGGGAACGTTCTTGGATATGCTGCTCAATGGCTGGCACGGTGTATATGTTTGAAGCCTGGTAAAATTTGGAGGTTAATTTTCGCTTCGCGCGATGCTCTTCGTGTGACTTCGTCGCAAAAATGGATCGCCTATTGTACCCTTTGAAGTTGTCAAAGTAATTACTTTTTGGCCATCGCTGCGTGGCACTGTATATTTCCTTTGTGGCTTCCAAGGTCGCTACTGAAACTTCATTAGGCGCTATACAGATTATAGGCCCGTATTGGTGATGCCATTCCAGAATTTGGTCGTTCCGGCTGTAAGAGAAATCGTACATAGCCAAGTGCATTTTCGTGATTTTTGACAGCAGAGGGCCGGGGACATGCCGCAGATGCCCTCGGAGAATGCGATAGAGCCCCCTGAAGACTAGAATACAACTGATTACCATGCCCATCGCGAGAATGGCAATCTGAGAAGAGTAATTATAGAAGTACCACATTGAGTCTCAGCACTTGGTGAACACTGCGTCAGCAGGCGTATTTAGACGACGCTATGTGCGTATTTAGACGACGCTATGTGCGTATTATAACGAATAGTGACGAGCTCTGGACAGTTATATTTCCGCTTCTCTTTGAGAATTCCCCAGTTGCATCAATCACTTATCACTAAGACGTGCCTTAAAATACTAGATAAAGTATGGTACAGGAAATATATCTTCCTAGGCGTGAACAAATGTCCTGTTCATGCCAATTGCGCAATACACACCCTTTCTCAGTTTCAAAGCTGATCACGGCGTCAGTGTAGTTTGACTCATCCAAACGTTTGTACAGGGTGGATGCTTGGAAATAACGTAAGGTTCAATTTGATCCTTGTCTCATTCGTTGTACATACACTCAGCTGTGTACAATCATTAGCCATGATCTTCCCAAATGTCTCAGGACACACGGGATGTTTTTTGCACCAAACTTTTGACTCTAAGGACTCGCGCAAACTATTCCATAACGGGCGTGGTACTCAATGTTCATTCACCTTTCTGACTACATTCGAATCAATATGACAGCATAGCTGCGTAACAATCCCCAGTCCATCAAGTCAACTTTGCGAGACTGAGTGGGCTGGTAGAAATATCCAATAGCTTTATTTTGGGCCATGCCATCATCAATGGTACCTACCACGTCAGTAATTGTATCCCAGTAGTTGTGAAAGTTCACCAGGCTTCTCCCATTTTGATGTGTACGTATGAGACGGGTGTCAAGTTGTCATTCGCCTAGTGAACAAGGGTCCGACAGGTCACCTACCACACTGCGTCCACACTTACTATCACGCAATTTTGAGTCCTCGTTCAATGAGACGACAATAAAAGTACCCGAAAGTGCTATATAAAATAGAAGGAGAGTTGGGCAACAAAGTTGGATTTTGATCTCGAGGCTCATCATCTCCTAGTTGTTGTCGGACACGTGCCGAATTTCTCGTTCAGTGTTCCCTCGTCGGCAACAGCTCTTTAGAGAAACCGGAAATGACTGCAGCCACTTTCATCGAACGTCCTTGAAGACGTCACCTAACTCGAGCCCCTGTGACTCGTTTCGAAAGGATTGGCATATGCCAAGCCCAGCAGGTCTCAGTCGGTTCGTCATCGTGCAATCAAGTCGAAAGATCCACGAAATCCCGACGAGGTAACCTGATATGAGTTGAAGCCGGAACAGAACATATTACGCAACATGTTTCATTATTAAAAATTATTAAAGTATTACTAGAGCAAGTAAGCCTTAGAAACAACCTCAGCCAGGAGTGCGCTAGGATCATTATCTGTTGATATAATAACTGTTTCATGACCCCCCAGGTGGAAAGTACACAACGATTGCATATCATAACACATCAAACGACCATAAAACCCGACCTCCCGACTTTACCTTGCCATAGCCAGTTTATTAACCGCTTGTGACGTCTAAGTCTTTTTCTGCTGTAATATTAGTCGTTACAGCCCTAGTCAACTATTGAAGTAAGGAAAATGAACTATCAACGCATGGCAATTGAGAAGGAGGCGCCAGAGGAGGTTGGCTCGGAGATTCGGTACAATCTCTCGGAAAGTGCCATATCAGATCAGACATTAGACTCCTTGGGCATCAATATTCCTTCTTCGACAATTTTTACTTACACGGAACACAAAGGAAGCCACAAGATTCGTTCGCTTATTGCTAATGCCGCCAAGGGTGGCCTCACTGACGACGACATACTGGTTACCGCAGGCGCCTCGATGTTGCTCTTTATTATTCATTCCGCCATGCTTAATCCCAAAGACCACATCACTGTCGCTCGGCCAAACTACGCAGCGAACCTGGAAATCCCGCGATCAATTGGATGCGAGATAACCTTTATAGACCTCGATTTCGAGTCTCAGTATCAGCTGGACATCAACCGTGTCGCAGCTGCGATTCGTCCTGGCGCTACCAAATTGATTAGCGTCTGCTCTCCGAATAATCCTACGGGCACAGTTTTATCAAGTTCGGAAATTCAGTCGCTCGCATCGTTGGCGCGGGCGAACGAGTGCTATCTTCTCGTCGACGAAACCTACGCGGATCTCAACTACGCATTCACCTCTACAGATAGCGGATTCGTCATTGGTTCGGCTGCAAAGCTCGGCGACCATGTTATCAGCGTTTGCTCCATGTCAAAGACCTATGGTGTTCCCGGCATCCGGATTGGCTGGCTTGTCACAACTAACAAAGTTCTACAGGAAACTTTTCTTGCAGCAAAAGAACTTATTAGTATTAGTGGTAGTGTCGTGGACGAACTCATTGCGGAACAAATTTTATCACGACGCACTGAGCTTTTATCCAAGACAATTGCCGACATGACTAGCCGAAGAGAGCACGTCGCAAGCTGGGTGGATCAAGAATCTGAATTTGTAGACTGGGTAGAGCCAGAAGCGGGAGTTATGTGTTTCATCAAAGTCAAGAAGGAGCCCGTGGGAGGGCTTGCGGCATTCTATCAGAGATTGCTCGAGGACCATGGAGTATATGTTGGACGTGGAACTTGGTTCGAGCAAGATGATAATTTTTTTCGCTTAGGTTATGGATGGCCGACATGGGAGGAATTGGATACAGGTTTGAAGGCTATATCTAAGGCTCTTCGTGGTTAGGCTTATTCTTCGTCTCGTCGCGCTTTTTCCCCAAAGGAGGCTTTGTTTCCTGTTCATCTAATGCTCAGACCAAGTATTATTAGGAAACTATCGCTGGTATATGAGTCTACCACCATGCTCTTCAACTGGGTAATTTGAATGTGCCTATATAGATTGGTATTGATCAACTTGGTGGCAATTGTGCTCCCACGGACTCGTAATGTTTGAACAAACTTTCTGCTATACATTTCTCCGCACCTGTCTAAAAGCAGACGTCGAACACTGGTGCTGATAGATCCAACAGGTGGACTGCCTCTTTCTTGTAGGTATCTTAAATACGAAGCCTTTTCCGCAGCGCATGACGATGAAAATGGCGGCAAGGTAAATACTAGCATGAGAAATTAGAATATTGGCTTTTATCACCGGCGCGACTTCGTCAAGCGTAATGGCGGCTGGTACCTTTGGACACGGAAATATAAGATCTAGCCTGGAATCACATATGTGTTATCTGAGCTAAATTTGGTGGATATGAGTCTAGGGTGGGAACTCGGTGAATAAGGGTACCGAGCCACCGCTTCCCGCCGTTTAGAGTTGGCACAAGAGTGTCAAAATACGATCTAGTGTTATTAAATGGAATATGTAATGGGGCGACTAGAAATATTTTACGGTGAAAATGGGAAGACCCATAGATATTTCATGGGATTAGATACGCTGTAGCTCACCCTACCGCCAGCTTCCAAAAGACGTGATGCGCAATTGTAATAGCTGCACGGCCCCATTGAAGTGCCATTCTAATAAAACTGCTTCATGTGCATTAAGATCAATGAGCAGAAGGGAGCAAGAATTCTCTTTGCTTGTTGGCGCAACTAGAGCAAGAAAGATAGAAAAGCCCTAAATCTTGCGCAAGCATCAGCGGCGGGATGTATCTAAACCTACGGAATAGCGTACAAATAGTCGTAGTACCAAGGCGACAGAGAGAAATTGTAATTACGTGGCATTCGCTATTCCGTCTTCTTGGCTGGAGCCGAAAAGATATTTGAGAACTGATGTAGTACCCGTATCTCTCCAAAAATTAGGTATCAGCTGGCTCTGTGAGTTTTTACCATTTCATTAGCGAATGAATCATAAATGCGGACGGACACAACCTACCGCGTCAACGTGGCAGGTCACGTTTTGGGAATCAAACGTCTTGACAGACTGCACTTTCCCATCTTTATAGTTCAATCGGACCTGTTGCGAAGTAGCGCGGGAGGCATCAAGATCGAGGTAATTAAGTGGCTCTATTACAATAGCGGAGTGTGCCGTCGTGAAAACAGTATTCGGAAGATCGCCAGTGTGGGGAGCATGGTGCATTCCGAGATTGAACCAAAGGAGGCTAATCATGTTAGTCATTTTGCGCTTCAAGGCCCGAATCAGTGGTGCGGCGCCTACAGGTCCTCCTGATCCAGAGATTCCCCATCAAAGAACTTGGCAAAGTCAATTATTGGCTCTATAGGATCAAGAATATTATATGGATGCGTAGCTTGTGCTTCCGTATCCTTCTGCTTTGTAACATAGAAGTGATGGTCTGCGAAATTCACGGCGTTCATGGCGTTGGACGAGTTTAAAACTGTGAGAAAGACAGCGTTCGAAGCTGCTACACAATTAGCTCCACTCAGACGCCGCACACATCGTAAATTAGGCCCGCCTACCAGGGGAGAATTTATATCCAGGATATTCCCCCAAAGTATTTCTGGCTTCCTTGTTGACGATAGCATACGTCGCCGCACCATTAGGAGCCCAGTTGATCTTAGTTTCGTTCTCGTTCTGGATAAACGATTTTTGTACCTTCATTGTGTTCCTTTTGGCACCATTCGACCACGGATATCTTATGATTTGTTTCAGCGCCGGCGCCCCAGAAGTCCATGGACATTCTTACTTACTCAGTGGTAACGGGCACAAATTCCACCTTTTGGAGGCTATTCTTCTCACCGAATATGTCAATATCAGCCTTGTAAGTGAGAACATGGTCGTGTATGGAGCCGGAGAGATTGTCATGAATGGTCTAGCCATATTCTTCGTTGTTAGCAGAAAAGCCGCCTAGTATATATCTAGAAGCTCTTACGGAGACTTCTATGCTCCCATCTAGAAAGAAAGTATACGAGAACATGTAGTCATAGTTTGCAATGGTGGAAACAGACCTTACTATAAAAGCGATGTTCTTGGTAATACTGGTGTAATTAGCAGCAGAGTGGCGCTGTATAGGGTATCCCTGGTCAAATTCGAACAAGCCTAGACTTGTCAGCGTGCTCGGAGATGCAGAGATGGCCAAACTCACAAATGGCATTAGGTCGACTGTGGAAGATTTCTCCTTGGCTGTAGATAACATTCAGATAGGTTGAATACGTCGGACAATCGTATCCTAATGCGCCGATCAACTTGGTTGCCATTTGACCCATTGTCTGTCGCTCAAACTCAGCATCAATGAGAGTTACAACACTAGGCCCAACGCCCGGTTTGCTGTCAAAGTAACTGCGATGGTATGTTCTGTAAGCGCTGAAGAGATTCACGACCGCCAGTATCGCCTTACGTTATCCCAGACTGTACCGGGTCATTTCCCCTGTTGGCTGTTAGAGTGAATCTAAGCGTCATTTCGCACTGTCCTAGCCAAACTTACGCGTAGTGAGCCAGCGCTTCCTGCAGGCCCAGCTGACTATGGATGGTTAGAAACGTCCCTTATAATTGCGATTTCCGATTGTAACTGCCAACATACTTCGTAAAGAATTCGTCTGCCTTTATATTGGACATTGAAGAGGCGCAATCCATTATCTCTGTTGTACGATAAGAAGAACGAGAAATCCACTATATCTGTTAAGCTCTGATGTGGACTTGTATCAAAGGGAAATCGCAGTTTCTTGGCACCTACTCCACTTGACATAGTTTTCCTTTGTATCTATAAAGAAGCGGTTTGATCCAGGCATAACGGCCGTGGGTGGAGGGTAATGGTCATATGTCATGGCGGTACCTTGCTTATCCAATCTTGCCCATGGGCCGTCAAAGTTGGCTCCAAGTCCAGTGAAATTACTAGACATTGCGGCGGTCCGGAATGCATTCGTGGTTGGATAGTATATGCCATTGTAATACCATCCAATTAAAGACCACTTCGATGGATCACGCCCCGTTATATCGAGCCCAAAATATAGACCGAGCGGAAGAATTGTCTCTGAGTTGAATAATGAGGTAGGGTTGCTTATGAAACTGGACCATACAATTAACCTGCCATTTTCCTTTGAAGGTGGATATTGTGGCAAAAGGCTAAGCGTATCGTTGAGGGTCTGCTATTGTCAGACGACTTTTCATATCTTTCCTACGCCGTAACCACTCACCCTATCCCATAGAAGCTTTGTGATATCGGCCACAGAAAGCCCCACGTCCTTGGCGAGTTGGAGCACCTCGCTACGATCAGCAAAATCAACAGCCACTTTCCCTTTGCCGGCATTATTGTAGAGAAATTGAAGAGGCTGTACCTGAGTGTTGTTAGTAATGGGGAGCGGGCCAATTACATAGTCTTGAAGGAAGGGATTCGGCGTTGCCCCAAACATCAGAGTTGCCCGGGCATATCGTGGAGGGGGCTTTGTCGTATTCTTGTTTATAAACAGAAGCACGTCGCTCTTTTTTGGAGCTAGAAGCTCCAGGTGAAGGCTGCATATGTAAGAAATTAACAAAGAGTTGAATTTGTTGAAGAAATTGCGTACATTCTATTATCCCAACTGTTCAACATGTAAATACTCTGCTCTCTACATTATGTGGGCTTCTCACCTTCCAGCCCTATCTTCTGTAGTAAGGTTAAGACCGATTGAATGCTGGTGCAAGAGGTCAATAATACCAGCAGCTTCTTTGTCAGCAAATCCACCCCAGATATTCTGATGCGGCGCAGAAACTGATGGTTGCCTTGATTTGCAAACAGGATAAGGCGAGCTCTGCTGATGGTGGGCTTTGACGCGCGACCATGATGTGCTCCACGCATAATAACTGTAGCTGGATATGACGGCTGCTAAATAGACAGAAATAATCAGTCCGAATGTGCGAGAGGCAAACATCTTCATCCTTTTGACTGGTATCGATACTTTTTTGTCCCACAGAACGCCAATTGCTGGAGCCTTGGGGGAGAAAGACTGAAAACAACATGCACGGGATGAGAGACTTTTAAGTGATATATCTCTACGGGGGTCGTATGACGAGTCTGTTTGATGAATGTCTCATTTTCCGACCTTGTGTGACTAGACGAATATCCGTCATCGTTACTTCTTTTCTCCTCAAACAATCGCTTCACCTTTATATCGCGTAATCTCCCAGCCGAGGAGTGTATGCCGCCCATTAAACCGCTGCAAATAGAGTGCCGATGCGAAACTGCAGTTCTTATGGGCGTGATATTATTAAATTCTGATCAGAGCACCAATTTGCCTGTGAATGAGCCGGTGATATGCCTACAGCAAAAGTTGGCTTCCTTATTACCCCACCCCCAGATTGACACCTTGGCAACTTGGCAAATCAGCAACTTGGCGACTTGGCAACTTGGCACCTTGGCACCCGAGATCGTAGGAAAACCACCTTTCATTTGTGCAGATCACATGTGGCGAATACCAGTCCTCTAACCCTACTTGCCTGCTTATCGTCCTATCGCCCAGATATGGATCATGTATCAACTAGCTTACGGAGTGGACGTTGATCATAAAACAAAGATACACGCCACTCCCCGGTGGCGACAACGACGTGATATCTCGCCCTGCTTTCGCCACGTACGGTTCGACTGTGCCACAACGCACAAGAACACAAATGGGAGAGGAGTCGGTTGGTGCGGCTTCCTAAGACGAATCCGCTGTTGCCTCTTTTAATGGAACAAGCAATTTTGATACGGGCGTTGGCTGTTGTGATGGTGGTTATGAGAGCATAACAATCACAAAAAGTGATTATGTTGCTCAGACAAAGAATCACTGTTCTTCAGGCTGTCATGGTCTCAGGATCCAACGCGATCTGGGTGAATAATTTCTGAGCTTCCAAGTGTCACACTGTCGCGAGAGCCCCATTAAAATTTCCGAGCAAATGTCCGCAGTGCAGCAACCAGTATCAATCTCAATCGTCGCCACGTCACAACATCGGCTGATCTTGTTCATAATAAGGCGTGAAGGCTACTCCTACTCTTCGTAACCCCGCGCGTTGTTTTTGGTAGAGACATATTAGGTCAGAATAAAATACAGCTCGCAGTCATCGAGTGAGACACACTTTTACTCCGCACAACGATACTGAAACAGCGGCATCGAGAGGTAACCAATCCTGCATGTCCACCTAACACACAATGGAATAAAACCTTGGATTCTTAGTAAGACATACTCGGAACATAAATAAGCTTGACCCTTTCTCCGAGCAGAACAAAATCAGGACCACCAGTCACAAGCAAACTTGAGAAAAACTCTTATTATAACGTTGCAATATCGAGCACGCCATTTACCTTAAAAAAAAGGTAGACATGGGTACACAATTTTTTAGGAGCTACTCCGTAGGGAACACACCATCAAATCTGCTCAGCAAATGCCTATCGAGGCGTATAGCGAAGCGTAAGAAATCCAGCTGATGTGACTGCTTTCAAGACCCTGGCTCGAGAAGATGCTACGGAACTAGTTAATCCAGCCTACCGTGGCCGCAATCCTACAGGAACGTGGCCACCGTCTCGACCAGGGGGTTAGCTTATTGCGTGACAGACCTTGTTTCCCACCTAGTCCGAGGAAATGTTCCTCTTTTGGGCTAGCCCCAGCTAATCCTAAAAACTCCGTACCTAGTATTGATTACAGGACCCATTAGAAAGGGCCCTCAAAATGCGTTCTAATCATGCGCTTGCAGCTAGTACACATTCATATTATCAGTTATCTCTAGTCCGAGTAGCCTATTGCGCTGCTATCGTTTCGTACGAGTAAGAATATAGTGGCGAATTGGGCTGTGGATAGTAAAAGAGCGGGCTGGACCCCTGTCGGACTTTTATATAAGCTTGCGAGTTATCTTTGCATAGTGCGGGCCAACTATGCCAGGTTTGGTCAAGTCTGCCATGAGGAATCACCCAAAGACGCACACTCCTTCTAGTTTTCCCAGAATCATACAATTACACTTGAATCATAAGTTCTTACTAGCGCAGTTTTGCATGGGGTTCTCCGATACCTTAACATTTTAGTACAAAGCAGCCGATGACCCCAAACCCTTTGTGGATTTCCTCCGCCTTGATTAGGCTGGAGCTCTTACTAGGGCCAACACTTTAATGTTGCTTGACTCGAAAACAAACAGCATCTCGGGAGAAGCGGCACGGGAGCGCTGATTTAGGCAACATGTATGTGCGGAACATTCCAAAGTTCTGCGGGCGATAAGAAAATAGCTCACCTCAATTGTCGCTAGCATTGGAACTTTTTTCAGAACAGGGGTCTAGAATCACGAGGTCCCAGACCAGAACCTGGAGACGTGCTGATTAACTGCAGATAACAATTAACCCATGTATTTGCATGAAGGTATACAAAAGAATAGAATCGCCCGCCAGAATGGCGAGGGTAAATCGAATTGACTGTGATCGCTCTTTTCTTTTCTTTTTTTAGGAGGAAGGAAACAAAAGCAGCCATGGGTATGTGCTATGTGAGATGCTAACATCAACTTCGTGATGACTAACACGAGATCTATCATCTAGCGGACGTTTCGAAGCACGAGACCGCTGTCATCGTACCCAGCGAGAAAGAAGGTCTCGAAGACTCTAACGCCGATTTCAACCACGGGCAGAGTGTCGCCATCCTCAATCAGGATTATGAGGGAAAGCCAACTGAAGAGGAATTCGCTACTCTGCGTCGTGTCCCTGGCAAGATTCCAACAGTCGCTTACCTCCTCTGTGCTGTTGAGTTCTGTGAGAGAGCTTCTTACTATGGTACGCGTACCCGGCTAGTCGTGTTCAGCGGTGGCTTTCAGTACCTGTGAACGGAACACTGACATGTCTATGCTTTCCCTAGGATGTGCCCAGATTTGGACAAACTACATCAACCGACCTTTGCCCAAGGGCGGTAACGGTTATGGTTCCCCTGCACCTGGAAGTCAGGCTACTCAGGGTGCCCTAGGTTTGGGCGAGCAGATTGCCGTAAGACTTCGCCTCTCTCTCATCAACTGCTAATCGTTTGTTGTCTGTCTCGCATACTAATTTGTTTCAAAAACAGAATGCTACTTCACAATCTTTCAGCTTGTTGGCTTACTGCCTTCCCCTTATTGTCGGATATCTTGCCGACACAAGATTTGGTCGCTTCCCAATGATTTTCTGGGGTGTCATCATCTGTGGTGTCGGACACGTCCTCATTGTTGCGGGTGGTGCCAAGACGCTCATCGACAACGGAACTGCCAAGATCCCCTTCTTTATCGGCGTGTACATTCTCGCTATTGGAGCTGGTACGCTGCGCCCCGTATATCTGAACCCGTCCTAATTAAGGCACCTAGCTAATCTTCTTTTCTCACAGCCATGTTCAAACCCAATGTCACACCGCTCCTGCTGGACCAGATGAAATCACATGTACCAAAGGTCAAGACTCTCAAATCTGGTGAACGAGTCATCGAAGACCCTGAACACAGCGCCGAGAGAGTCATGTTGTGGTTCTATCTCCTCATCAACATTGGCGGTTTCATGTCCACAGCGACATCGTACTCGGCAAGATACGTCGGCTGGTGGTTGGCTTTCTTGCTCCCTCTTATCCTCTATCTTCCCCTGCCACTTCTGCTTATCTGGCTTAAGCCCCGTCTCGTTTTGCACAAGCCTGGCGGCTCTGATCTACCAAATGTGTTCCGAGTCATCAAGCACGGTCTGGCAAATGGCGGCATCTTCAGAATTGGCCGCAAGGGATGGTGGGAGAACGCCAGGCCGTCCGTTAGAGCTGAAAAGGGATTGTCGCCCGAAACCCACTACAGCGATCAGTTCGTCGTGGACGTACAGCGAACTATGCAGGCAACCGGAATGTTTTGCTTTTTCCCTGTTCAATTCTGGAATGACAATGGGTACAGTTGCTTTGTTTCTATTCATCACCCTCTTGTGCTGACCTTGCGTGTGTAGTATCGGAAGCTCAGCAAACTTTTTGGGCACTATGCTCACAGGCAACGGTGTCCCTAACGATGTCATTGGCAACTTCAACTCCCTTAGTATCATCGTTCTAGGACCGATCCTCAATGTCAGTCACTCTGTGCCAAGGCTACAGTTTCGTTTTGCCTTTTGCAGTTGTAAATGAGAAATCTGCTAACTAGATCGTTACAGTACGGACTGTACCCGCTTTTGCGCAAGGGAAAGATTCATTATGGCCCTGTTGCTCGCATCACGACTGGCTTCTTCCTCAGTACACTTGCTGGCGTTGGCTATGCTGTGTTGTGTTACAAAGCCTACCAGACCTCTCCCTGCGGTTGGTATGGCTCTTCCGACCCGAGATGTGTGGATAATGGACTGGTCTCGCCCATCTCTCTGTGGTGGGAGGCTATCCCATATGCTCTCGGTGGATTTTCCGAGTTGTTCATTAACGTTCCGGGTACGTTCAACCACTTATCATGTCATGTCTATGTAAATACTAATGCATCTGTATACATATAGCCTACGGTATCGCTTATTCTCGTGCTCCGGCCAACATGAGAGGCTTGGTGTCAGCCATCAACCTCTTCAACACTGGCTTTGCATACATCATCAACCTTGCTACTACAGCTGCGATTGTGGACCCTTTCCTTGTCTGGGATTTCGGTGGTCCTGCTATCGTGGGCGGAGTCGTTACAGTTGGCTTTGTATGTTTTGGAACCCCTCTCGTTTTAAATCAGACCGATACTGACTTCATTTTAGTGGTTCATCTTCCGCCATATTGACAAGGAAGAATTCGTCCTCTCAACGACAAAGACCAGCGAGGCTGAGGGTTCTGAGACTGACGAGCACACTGCGTGATTTCAGTAAGCTCATCGACAAGGCAATATGGCGATAGGCGCCTCGAGGGGGATCTAATCAAAACAAAATCAGCAATGATATCCTTCTAAATTAACTTAAATATACTATTTAATCTTTGTTCATAATCTCGAAGATGGATAATGATGTTTCCTGGCTTTGAATGGTAATTGAACCTAAGTGAGAGGCTGCCACTAGTGTACAATGCGCATGATGAGTCTAAATTAGACCGACTGGAAGAACAAAACAGGTACAGTTGGAGGAGTATCAAAGACGAGATTATAGGTTACAACGTAAATATTACAAAAACAGCAAATGGAAGCATATGAACTAATGTGTTAAGGAGGCCATGGCTGTGATATATACTTGGTTACATTGTTTAATGGATTCATAATATGTTTGACTTCTCATTTGGGATCGTACATGTTTCTTTTGGTTATGTTATACGATGCTTTCTCTGCGATATAACACGGCAGATTACAAAGGCTACAAAGCCTTTGGCCAGAGCTTGTGGTATGAAAAGTATGGAAACGGAATTAGGTAGCTTTGCAAGTATAAGCACATCAATATATCGTTACAGAATCTAGCAAAGAGGCAGGGGCCTGAGTATATCCAGCCACATGGTCATTCAGCTGGGCACATAGCCAATGTAGCCAAGCGGTTTGCAAAAAACCGGAAACCGCAAAATCAACACGCGCAGAAATAATAAGGAGAATACGCTTGCCATTCTAGATGGGTTTAGTGTAGTGGGTATGTGCGGATTGTCTGTTTCTGGATGGTCATTTCTCGACTCCATCTTTTTTACAGAGTCCAGACCCCTTGGTTGCGTTACTGCTTTTCCATCTCGTATAGCATCCATGGATGGGAACAAGAAACATAGTAAAAGAGCTACTACTCTGCCCTTGCGTACTCATGATCAAAACGTCTCATTGCCGAAATTCCATAACAAGTCGGGGTCAGTCTGATACGGCTATCATCCATCAAAGCAGAGTGAGGAAAACAGATTACGATATTAGACGGTATGTACTCTGTACGGGGTAATGATACCTTGCGTATATATATCAGCTTTCAGCGCTATTCAAAGTATTACCTATATAGCAAGAGCGCTGATGTCGGCTGTGCCATAGCGTATTTGAGGTGTGGGTGGCAATAAGCACGTCGCCCTCTCGCAGAGCAGAACAACTCATTGCGGAGAGCACTGACGATCCATGCCCATTTCAGCTTGCCTTTACGTGCATTGCACTACTTGTGTGCTACCATATGTTCAAACAATTGGCTGTCTAATAGCGACGATCGATACGAATTGGTCTATCCCCCCGCAATGGACTTCATTTCTCCATATATATGGGGACCGATGGTCAACGTCGCTCCACAGCTTGCCACGATCTGCTTTACCCCGCTGTTGCGCCCGGGAAAACAGTAAGGTGGTTTGTACACTGCGTCTGGTTGCATCTGCTTTAACCATTGTTGGTATCATATCCTGCAAGCTTAGATGAAATTGTTGCGTTGTGGCTGGCTGAATGATAAGAAAACATGTGTGCAAGGGAGGGGGAATAAACTGCCAGAAAATAACATCCCCAACTTGTAAGCTTATAATAAGAAAGTTGTAAGATGAGTATCTAAAGCCGTGCAGTATAAATAATGAATGGCAAGGAATGCTAAGCTCAGGGAATGCCTATTCTCTATGCCAGATCGAAATCGAAACAGGTAGATGATAATCACAAACATGAAGAAGCTTTTTCGAAAACTCGTCTCTCGTGAAGATGATGGGGAAGACCATACAGCGACAACAGCAGCGAGGACGACAACAACAATTAAGACCACCAAAAAAAAGGATGGCTTCTTTTCAACTTATATGTATTCGAATAAAGAACTAGATAAAGCAATCACCGAAGCGGAAGACAAAATGATGGCAACCTCTCGAGAAGACCCTAGTTTGCCCGAATACAAAGCAGCGCTCGCACAGCTAATGGCACAGAAGTACGCTGAATTATTCAAAGTGCCCGTACACTCTCAACAAGTCCCGGGATTTGTAAATAAAATGGTTGATATGACTCTCGTGCCAAGCATGTTTCGCGAAGCAATCAGTCTCATGGAGGAAGCCGTTTCTACTACAGCCAAGGACAATGTACTCGACCGAGTCAAGTACCTGGGCCAATTGAGTCAGATGTACAACTTACGCCATAATCGAGTTGGGGAGTTATCAGATCTGGAATACGCTATCAAGTATGCGGATCAAGCGATACACGAGGTCCCCGACCTAGACATTTACAAGGGATATGATCGACTACTGAGCGATGTTTCTGACATGCATATGGCCAAATTTGACTATACAGGTCAAATGGATGCTCTCAGAGACGGGATCGACAATGCAGAAAAAGCGCTGTCAATCAGCCGCGGTCGAAACTCTGACCCCGATCCGATTCTGCTTGCCAAGCTTGCTGAAAATTACTTGCTTCGTTTTCATCACGATCAGCGATGGGAAGACCTCGAACAAGCACTGCAGTTAATGAGAGGAGCGGCAGCAGTAGCAGCGACAAGTACTCAAGAAGATCATTCACAACGAGCACGAATTTGCAATGGGCTTGCAGAAGTACTCGCAGAGCGGTATGGACGGCGACCTGAATACATTCATGATGTTAGGGAGGCTGTCACATTGATACAAAACGCAATTGATGCCACTTCGCCAAAAGATGTGGTACGTGTGAACTATTTGCTCAATCTTGCGTATAGACTTCGTGAGCGTTTCGCACTGGACCAGGACATCAAAGACTTGCATGAAGGCATCCAATCCGTGGATGATGCCATCAATTTTGCTCTACTGGGTCACCCCCGCTTTCTAGATATGCTACGATGTCGAGCCAAGTTGTTTGGTAGTCTCTTCCAGGTCACAAGTGATCTACGTCACTATACGAAAGCCGAAGATAGTCTGAGAAAGGCTTTAGATCGCATACCCGATAATCACCCTAATCGGTGCGCTTTCCTCCTAGATAAGGCCGACCTAGTCTTACTCAAAGAACAAGATGGAGGTAGAAGTACGCAGCTCTGGTGGGCTACTGAGATATGTTGCCAGGCCATGAATGATTGCACCAATAGTCCTCCATTGGATCGACTCAAGGCGGCATACAAAGGGGCAAGCCTGTATCTCGAGATGGGTGATTACAGTATGGCTGGTGGACTACTATGTAGGGGGATTGATTTTTTACCACGACTCAACCCACGCTCTCTTAGTAGAGATGACCAGCAGTTCATTCTTAGGCAATTCTCGGCTATGGCGTCTGATGCAGCTGCATGTCTTCTCGAGGTGACAAAACAACCTGCTAGAGCCCTAGCCACACTGGAGAGTGGTCGGGGAGTCATAGCAAGCTTAATGATCAATTCACGGTCTGATGTTTCCGACCTTCAGAATAAGGATAACAGCCTGTTCAACCGGTACATTGAGCTTCGAGATGCCGTGTCGAGGAACATCAATGAGTTTAGCAACGCTACTAATGCAGGAGGAGCCGCTTCAGAAAAAGCTGTGGCCAACGCTTTGTCCAGACGAGTTCAAGATGAACATGATTTACATCTTGTTGAGGAGAAGATTCGGACACTGGATGGTTTCGAAAGATTTCAACTGCCACCAACAGTCGAGAAACTCCAACATGCGGCTATTCACGGTCATATTGTTGTTTTCAACGTTGCGAAGTGGAGAAGCGATGCTATTATTGTCCCTCAACATCCTTCCACTGGTATCCGCTATGTGTCTCTGCCAAGTCTCAAGTACGATGACCTAGAGAGATTCACCCCATGGGTCACAGGGAAGGAGAAAATAGTCTCCGGACCCATCAGCACAAAAGCAGACAGGAATGGAAAAATGCGGGAACTTCTACAATATTTATGGAGGAAAGCTGTCGCCCCGGTTCTAGAGGACCTCGGAATCAATACGAAGCAAGGGTCCACAACCGATGAGCTCCCGCGGATTTGGTGGGTTATGAGTGGAATCATGTCTGTCTTCCCCCTTCATGCAGCAGGCGAGGACTGGGGAGGAGAGTCTTCGTTTGAGAACACAGCGAGCCACGTTATTTCGTCTTACATACCCACAATCAAAGCCTTGCAATACGCTCGCGACAAGAACGTCAGGAATCTATCGGAACGAGGTCAGAGCTTTTTGATCGCTAGTATGCCCGAGACAGAAGGAATGAGGCCTTTAAAAGTCTCAGGAGAAGTCACAGCAGTCCAGCAATGTGCTACCTCTTTTCAAGTTGATAGGATCGTCGCAGTTGATACTCCTTCAAAGGAATTAGTCTTGGAAGAACTCAAGTCAACACGCATAGCACATTTCATTTGCCATGGTGCTCTCGACATCAGCAATCCTTCTGACAGTTGCCTACTCTTCAAACAAGATGATGTCGATGGAAAGGCTGGACGTTTAAGGGTTCGGGATGTCGCAGCCTTATCCATGGAGCATGCGCATATCGCATACCTTTCGGCATGCTCGACAGCAGAGACAGCGGATAAAACACTTGTCGACGAAACAATCCATCTCGCAAGTAGCTTTCAATTAGTTGGCTTTCCGCATGTTATCGGCACTACTTGGGAAGCAAATAATACCGTCGCCGAAAAGATCGCAAGGAATTTTTATACTTTCCTAATCGACCAAGAGCGAGCGTTTCCACAAGATGATGGAAGCGTTGCTTACGCTTTGCACAAGGCTGTAAAAGCTTATTGGAGTCAATCTAAAGGAAGATTTAAACCGAGCGATGATGTTATCGCGTGGGCACCATTCATTCACATTGGCATGTAGCTAGTTGTTCTCTATAAAAGGCCATTAAAGGGGCACACTAACTGAGGATAATGGGAGGACAAGATAAGATTTAGCCATATTCACACAGAAAAAACTTCACCGGGCGCAATTTCTTCGTCTTCATCGTTCTCGTCAACCTCATCATCAAGATTAGCCTCAACCACCTCGTCTTCATCATCCTCGCCTCTATTTTCTGAAGCCATTACCCAACAATTATCCGATTGCATTCTAGCATGTTTGATGTCCCTGCGTAAGAAGAATTTGAAGGTGATCTTCCGATAACAAAATGCAAATATTCGTTCTCCTGGTGCTTTGATAATCTCGGTATCTAGACCACCGCGACCATGTTTTGCGCTAATGCCGGCGTCCAAGTCGATGCCAGGGACTGCGACACCTGTAGTCGCAGTCACAATGTCGTTTACGGGGATCTTAGCGTCAAAGCTCTCCATTCGGGATTCTTGATTAACTCTGCCAATTGTGGCATCTACAACCGTGTAATAGGCAGTGATAAAGTAGAGAGCTTTGGTGCCGTTCTCGATCTCATTTTGAAACCATTCCTTTGCGTCGTCATCGCCGCTACAGATGCGGTTGAATAGAGCCTTTGGTTGTGAGAGTTCGTAAAGTTTGGTCATGCACTTGGAAAGCATGTTCATGTTGACATTCTGGCCTTCGTATGATGCTGAAAGGAGGTTTGTAAGTTGGGCTGAGATTGATGAGTTGTTGCTGGTGAGAAACAGTCGGCCAAGGCTGTCTTGCTCTTGCAGAAGAATATCTGGCCCTCCTATTTTGACTGGGAATTTGGTGCTGGAGAATGCATCTTGATGCGGCTGGCGAATATTGGGGACAATGCTTCCAAGGTGGACGGCGTCACGCCTTGGTGCCACAGCAGGTATGAAGAATTTTTTCGCCATGACTCAACAGTTGATGTAGGAATAAAAAGGGAATGAACCACAGTGATGCTAGAGTGGTGGGTAGGAAGGCGATGACAATACTATCTAACAGCGGTAAGGTTTAACTTATTCCAGACTCACATTCGTTATTCTGGGAATGTAAGTTATTTCATTGGTCTACAGAAGGATACTAGACACTTAATCAATCATTTGCTATATGAGGTATTGAGATGTTGAGGCAATTATTCACACACCTGAATACTTGGCTATTCACGTCGAAGGCTCTATGCCTCGTGCAACCCCGCACTTATGATCCCTGCCTTCAGCTGCCTCATTCTTGGAACTTACACTATTTCGGTAGATGTCTCAGCCCGCCAAGCGTTACTCACGACTGAATCTTCTAACCAGTATTTGTCATGTCTCCTCCTACTCAGCCAGTAGCTGCTGTCTTTGGCGGAACGCGAATAGGCAATAGAGAGCTATTCATGCCCCATACCCAGCTCGAGACATTCTTAACAACGCTAGCTCAACATCACGTTACCAAAATTGACACAGCACAGGCGTACGGAAATTCTGAAGTTACACTTGGCAGAATCCAGGCGGGCAGCAGATTTCTCATTGACACAAAATGGAGCCCTTCTTCATGGACCGAATCCAGCACACCGTGGGCCACCAGTGAGCGCATTATACGCTCCGCCGAGGAAAGCATCTACAAGTTAGCAGTTGACCAAGTAAGTAGAACCCTTGCCAGCCTTCCATACAAAGTCATCTTTCTTATGCACACACAATATCAAGGACTTTATTACGATACTTTACCTATATTCTGCTGCTGCTGATGCTAATTTCATCCAATTATTGCCAAAAAGATTGACATCTTTTACCTTCATAGGCCAGACCCAATGACACCAATTTCCGAAACCCTTGCGGCGGTAAATACTATTCACAAGCGTGGCGTTTTCCGCCGATTTGGGCTATCAGGCTTCCCTGCCACTGAGATTGAAGCTATATACAATCACTGCGCTGATCACAGCTATCCCCTCCCCATCGTTTACCAGGGCAGCTACAATCCATTGAATAGGCATAAAGAAACTGCCCTACTTTCGACCTTGCGCAGACTGGACATCTCCTTCTATGCGTACGGTACTTCAGCTGGAGGATTTCTCGGCAAAAGTGTGGCGCAAGCAAAAGAACTGGCCAACAATAGTACCTATGTCTTAGCAACCTGTTGGCCATATTTGCGCGATGCCAATTTTTTGGAGATACTAGCACAATGGAATACTATTGCAGCAATCGAAAGAGTGAGCCCAGCTGAGCTGGCGTATCGCTGGGTGGGTGGCGTACCACTCAGCATTACGCTCAGACAACGGCGATGCATTTATCATTGGTGCTAGTAGCCCTGAACAACTAGACGAAACACTCAGTGGCATTGAGAAGGGTCCACTCAGCGACAATGGATGTGTTCCTATTCATGAAATATGGGAAAAAATAAAAGGAGAATGAGTTGCCAGAGAGCATATAGCTTAGTTTAGGATTATTACAATCAAAGACTTGGAAAGAAAGCTAGCATATTCAGTCACCATGTTAAACATCATGTTAAGAGTGAACATGGAATATTAGGAAGAGGGCGCAGCAAGTCTATCCGTATGTGGTCCATGCCATAATTGAGATTATTTACACCGAACCCAAGAAAAGTCTTCTATTCTCTACTGACTAAAAACGTCTTCTTTGCTTATCTTCGATAGTGGCAATATATATGGTATACTTAGAGAAGTGTCCTCTGGCGTGGAAATACGCCACCGTCAGACACGTGGAAACGACATTCACTATAACATCATAGTTTCTAGGTCTCACTCGCTAAACTGGAGTCAATCACTTAGAGTCTGGGATAACAAATAAATGCGTACAAGACGTTTGCCCAGGTTCCGGTGGGCCGGGAACAGGTATGGCAGTATTGTTCCATTCTTCGAATTATTTACCTGGTCTTTAGAACACTAGGATTGGGTACACTTAATTCGTCCAACTATTTCAAGCTCGACATGGGAAGGGAGGAATGCTCTCCAGGAGACGATATGTCGCTCGCTGCGCGTTACGTACATGGATTGTGCATGGAATATAAAGAGCATGGCCAAGAAAATCTGGTGCGCTCCGTAGGGTGTATGCATAATGATATCAGAGTGCAAGATGGGTGATTTCTTTGGCGGTTTCAGCATATCTTTTCCACAAGAATTGCTGAGGGGCTAGTAGCCTAAGATGTCCATCAGAATTGAGCAATCAGTAGAGAAGTATGGCAAGAGAGTGGTAGATGAAGTGGAAGTTTATGTTATTTAAGGTGACCGAATCACATTCAGGCCGATACCATAACGCCTCCAGAAGACTCGTTATCTTCGAGTCGACTGCGTCTTCGATAGTCTGGAAGCTGCCTTGCTGCAGCTGCGGTAGCGGCGACAATATGAAACTTGTAAAAATCTTCGACAGGAGGCAGAATTATTAGAAGGAAATTGTTGAATGAGTCAGGGTGGATTTCAGAATGAACGACTGACTCATAGAAGTCACGATATGATCAATATTTAACATGGAGATTTTCTTCTCCCAATACATGCCCATGAATTGGCGGGAGATTTGCGAATCACGTAGCTGAATCGCAGCAGGCCGTCCAATACAAAGGCTCTAGAGCTGATCACAGATGAATGCGCCCAGAAAACACGACGTCTGATTTCAATGCGCATTGTGTTCTCTGTTGTCCATTTGCAATCTATGTGGATTCCCAGCTCGTAAATCATGCGGATATCGTGGCTTGTGTAGAGCCAACCTTTTGATGTTGGGCCCAGAGCATTGGACGTCCATCCAAGCAACAAAAATCCACGTTCCTATGGGCATTCGCCAAATGTTCCCCAACGGCCGCCATTACCGCAAGTATCACAAACGCTATACCTTGCTACGAGTGGTTGCTATGACTAGCCCATCTTTCTGGGTCAGAATGGAAAAATTCTGACGGGTGACACCCCGTGGCTGACAAATGTTCTTACCAATAGACGCATTGACAGCAACGAAACTGTCAGAAACCTCCTAATTAACACCTAGCCGAATGCTCAGGGGCAATGAATGAGATTATTAACAATACGGTCTGAATGTGATTAGTGTCATAGGTCATAAATTCGGGTAGAAAAAATTGGTAGTACGAGATGCGCTGCAGCGTCTATAAAAGCAGCAACCAGCAGTATGGTGGTCCATGCAGAACTTTGGTATTACTGTCATCACCTTTTTACTCTGTTTGATCCATCGACAATGACGACGCCATTAAATATCCTTATTCTAGGCGGCGTTGGGGCTCAAAACTCCCATGTCGCCAAAGAACTTGCTGTCGCCGGCCACAAAGTACGTATCCTTACTCGCGATACACAGAAAAGGGGGGCCAGGGAGCTGGCTGCTTGGCCAGGCATCGAAATCGTCCAGGGTGACACATATGACGAGGAAACCCTGGAAGCTGCTCTCAAGGGTATCCAGTCGGTATATGTGAACACAAACGGTTTTGCTATCGGCGAACGGAGTGAAATATACTGGAGCATTCGTATCTACGAGATTGCATATTGGGCAGGAGTGAAGCATTTCGTTTATAGCACACTTCCATACGTGTCCAGGAGAAGCGGGTTTAATCCCAAATTTCGTGTTCCCTTCGTTGATGGCAAGGCTAAGTTTGCGGGTAAATTTTCCATGATGAAAACGCATGTATCCATGGCTAACATGTATGATCTGGTATAGAGTATCTCAAGTCCCAGCCGACGAATCCCATGAACTGGAGCTTAATAGAGAGTGGCCCATACGCTGAGGATAACTTGTACCGCCGGCCTCCTACTTATGACGAAAGAACAGGGGAGTGGGTTTGGAGAATTTACCTTGGCGAAGGTGGGTGTTACCCACTCGTAGATTTGCCAGACTTTGCTTGGTTTGCTCGATATATACATGAGCACCCAGAAGAGTTTCGGGGTGACCTTCTAAGCGTGGGAATAAAGCACACTTCCGGAAAAGAACTGGCTGAGGCTCTCACAGCGACCACAGGCAAGCCATCTCGATATGTGCCGTTAACTAAAGAGGAATTCCTTCAGGATGCGCCACCTATAAAAATTGGCGCGGCTCATTCGCCGGGTTATGATGATCCCACGCTATGGACAGCCCAGCAGATGTTTCTTCACTGGTCCACGGTCTGGATAGACAGTGTCGGCAACACAGGTTTGTGGACAAGAGATTACGAGCGCCTCGACAAACTAAAGCCGGATCGTATCAAGACCGTTGCAGAGTGGATGAAATCGGTGGGCTATGATCCTGAGAAGCCGAAACATTTGGTTAATACGGGTATGACAGTTGCTGGAGTCGGCGAGGTATTTTTGTGGGGTGAAGATGGTTCTGAACAGGACAAGGACTAAATCAATACTAGCCCACGCTTAGCTGGGCATTGTATGCGAGAGAAATTACAAAATATTACGTAGAAAACTTATTCTGCTGTTATTGGCAAACCTTTGCTGTAGTCGCCTGGATATAGCAAGCTGCCCGAAGTGATAACCACGGCACCACAACATGCGATCAAATCGTCCATGGATGGGCACACAAGCCATAAGGCCGATAGTTTGGTTATAGCCCAGGGCATTGCCGCCCCATTCAGAAATGGTACGAGTTGGCGGAGTAGGTCTACTTTGTCTGTAATCAAGGATGAATCAGCCTCCACCACGTAATACATATAGGGTATCTCGTGCCATGATCGCATTTAGTGATACGGCAACAATTGGGTGGATTGCCATCGTGGTCTCGCTATCGGATTCTAGGCTAAGTCTTAGCGATTTCTATTCCAAATTACTCCCTGTCTCTCTGTAGCGGTAGTCGCAGTCGAAAACCTCGCAGTAATCCTATCGGAGACAGATGGTATTCATCATAACGTGCCTCGTCGCTAAGTATCTAATTTGCCAGCACAGATAATTTTCAGTGGACTAAAATTCTTCCCAGCTAAAGTTCCTCCGTCCAACTAGAACATATTGAATTTCCGCATAGACAGGAATACGCACAGCATGGTACATCATGAACCACCTTTGCGACTTGACTATGCATTTTTACTATCTGATGACTGCTTGATCTTATCATGAATCCTTGACTGACTGCAGGGTGGAGGCCTATGCTCCTTCAAGAGCCCCTTGACGACCACATTTCTGTAAAGAAAGTAGGACAGGAGACCGCCCAAACCAAAGTCTTCGAGCCCATCATTCAGCTCAAGGTATTGAAATAGACCCAGCCACAGCCCCCGAGATAAGCAAACTTGTAGTTGAGAGCAAGTTGCAGATAATACCGCCCATTCTGACGGTGAGGGTGGTGTAATATCGAGAGGTGGTGGCACGCGCCCAGCAGGACTCCGCTCTTAAATTCTGGAGTAGTGAGAGCAGCCTGTATCTGTTTTCTCTTCTAAATCGATAACATGTAGTTCATTAATTAAGCTTGCTTGGATGTTTGATTACTAAAATTCCTCGGAAATTGTCATAGGAGCACCTAATTCAGCTCTGTGTTCATGCTGCTATATCAATTTATGTAGAATTCGGTCTCTAGTACATGATGGAAAAGCGAAAGGCTGCTGTTTAATATATACTTAGAAAAGAATTAATACGGAAAAGCATCATGCACTTCGTTTGAAAGTACTTAGTAATTTGTAATTACCTACAAGAGCCTCAATTGCATGATATAGAAGGGTCTTGCTTTTTAATTAACTGGCTTGCGTATCTTACGTGAGCTGTACTGTAGGAATACGCTGAACGCTGCCAGGCGTATACGCACAACGCTGTCGGCGATTACGCTAAACGCAATATACCGAACACGCACTGAATACGGTGATGAAAGCCAACGAACAAAAAAAAGCGGTTTGCGGCATCAGAACGAGTATAAGAAGGGAGTCTTGCCACCAAAGATCATATCTGATTAGCACAGAGAAAGCATTCGACATTCATACGATCTCAATTGTAAACTCACTGCAAAACAACGCACGCAATGGGCGGCATTCTCCCTCTCGTTTCATTTGGGGCTCTGGTTCTTGCTTCTACCACAGCGAGCACCCCTACCGGCTCCGCTACGACCACAACCACCAAGCTATGCGTCCAACTCCAGATTCCAGTCCATGTGGTGGCCACCAACTACCACTATGACCAACCCCGTGTTGATAGCAGTATTGACGCCATAGACTGGACCGTGAATGTTACTACGTGGAGCAGTTCCAACTTCACTGAACGTATTACTGAGCGCGTGGATGTTAACAAAACATTCAATATCGGTGCGCAACTGTGCGTGCCGTCCCGGAAGACCAGTAAAGCAGGCATTTTGCAAATCGCAACCCCTGGGCTTGGGTTTGGCAAAGAGTTAGCAACGAATCTTATGACGAAAACCAACTATGGAAGCCCGCTGATGAATCCTTGATCTAGATACTTCGACGTAAAGGTTGATCCACAGCAGTACTCCTACGTTGATGCCGCTATCAACAAGGGTTACTCCGTCCTTTCTTACGACCGACTCGGCACCGGTGCATCTGAGAAGCCAGATGCTTATGATGACGTTCAGATTCCAGTGGAAATTGAAATCTTGGCAGGCCTGACTAAAATCGCCCGCGGTGGAAAGCTATTGAGTTCCTCCAATGCATCGTCAGCCATCAGCAACGCAAGCGCCAAGTTCGACTTCGTACCTACCAAAATTGTCCATATCGGCCACTCGTTCGGCTCATATATTAACTCGCTCATGCTTATCAACTACCCCGATATCATTGATGGCGCTATTTTTACAGGCCTTTACCCTAACAGCATAGAAGCCACCAACCCGCTCAACGTCTTGAATTACAATCACGCATTCGCTAAAGAGAGCGATCCCGTCCGTTTTGCCAAATATGGCTCGGGTTATTTCGTTTTGGATAATGAGGAAACTCTCCAGAAGCTATTTTTCCAAAAGGCCACTCTGGACCCAGCTTTGCTTACTTATGCCGACAGCATAAAGCAGCCCGAGGCCATAGGCGAGTACTCATCCGAAGATGACAACCCGCTCGCACCCGCACCCAATTACAAAGGCCCGTTAATGGTAAGTATAGAGCAGAATCGTACTTTGGCTGTCTCCAAAACGTTTAGATAGTACCAAGACGACTAACTCTTTTTCTCTTACAGTTTTTTGTTGGCGAGTTTGATAATTTCATCTGTAATGGCAATTGCAGCGGTATCTACAGCGAAGCCTTTGCTCGCCAGATTTATCCAGGCGTGGGTGTAGACGACCTTACCTATTACCTGCAGCCAAATACAGGTCATGCCTCAATGTTGTCGACAAATGCTTCCGCTGGCTATGAGGTTATGCTAGGGTTCTTGGATTCTCGAGGGTTGTAATTAAGTAACACTATTTATTTACATACCTACTCAAGTAGCCTACAGACTGCTTTATTTTATTAGTCTGTGTGATAGCTACTATATATATATATACATATATTTGTCTCAACTCAATTTTTCTTTTTTGAACTACTCAAAGACAACTTATTTTAAGATACCTATTTCTCTTTGATAGTAACCTTTAAGCAGCTACTTCATTAGCTGTTTTCATGGTTTCTTGATACCTTTGCTTAGCTTGGTGTTACAATAGCTATAGTAGGTAGCTATGCCAATAAAGGGCTTACAAAGTCCTATAGCTTAGAACAGACCAACTAGCTTCAACTGCTCGATAGTCTGATTGCTATTCTTTTGTCAAAATATACTAGTGACATCCCTGGCATCAAGGAGTTGGAGGTATGTCGCTGGATTGAATAGCGTTAATAAAATGTTAAACAGGAAGTAAAGACGTTTATTTACCTGCAGCCTTCCAATGATGACTATTGACTCTTAGACTCTGCTTAATGTCATGAATTGCGTTTTTAGCGTCCTCCGAGTCTGACTTTTGTAAAATTTGGGAATAAACGATGGCAGAGCGATAGAACGCGTCGTGGCAAAATGGGGATATGTCATCATTTCCACTTAGCCCTGTTCGAAGAATGTGATGTGAGAGGATCAGCATATCTGCCGCCGTAGTTACTTGAACTTCCATTACGGCATTCGTCTCCACCGGGGACTTGTGCCGATTAATCCAAGCTATTTCTTGGTTAAGAATGAGTCGTGCGCTATAAACATTAATGCTTAATCAATAAAATAGGATCTCTCTGATGCAATACCTATGGCATATCGTGGTAGGACAGCAGACTTCTATACCTCGTTTTGCACCCTCCTGTAGCGTAACCTTTGTCAAGGCGGCAATTGTGCTATCGAGTATTTATACTTCATGCTCAAGGATACGATGATCACTTGCTTGAGGACCAGTATATCTGAGCACCTTCCCCAGCAAATACGCTGCTTGAACTGTCAGGCAGAATCGACCCATAGCCTCTGTGGGAGGAGAAGAAATGACAAGTGGAGGGCTGGGAGGTGGATACTACGTCGATGTTAGTAAACCTGCGAGACGCGAGAAATTGATGGCATGAGATCAGTCTTCAAGAGCGCATACCCCCATTTCCCAGAGCTTGTCATCCATTGGTAGCACGCTCGTGTTACTCGGCTCTTTGATCAATAGAGCTCGTTCCGGGCAACCGACGTTCAAGTATCTATGTCACCGTCAGCAGGTATCTCCTTGCAAATTTCCCACGTCTTGAATACCGATCTAGAAGAATAATAGTCCACCATGTCCTTCTCTCCTCCTCCGAACCATCCGGTTTAGATGAGCAGAAGGAATCAATTGTTCGATCGATGCCGAGTGCAATGCCATATCTGGCGCAGTAACCGACTGTTAAATAGGCTGAGGGATAGATAGCTTGCCCGAGTTCATATATCGCAACGAGAACAAGTGCTTGTAGCGTTCTGAATGTCAAGCTACCACTTAATTCTACCTCCAAAAGAGCTCTCTTGAGGCTACAGTAGGTAGCAGAAGTCGCATCGGCATCGGGCTCTGTTGTGATGAGCTTTATAGCAGCTATGAGAAGAACGTTTTCACAGCGCCGTTCACCGAGAGGATTTAAAATCCTTTCCAGGAAATTCCTTCTACATATAAACGGTGCCCATGGGTAATTGTAACGAAAGAAGGCCTCGGTGAATTTCCTCACAGTGGCCACATCCTCGACGAGAGACACTAAGTCAGGGCTGATGGGTAGATTTGCGTCTGGTAAACTACCCACAGACCGCCAGAACAATGCTGAGTCGGTGAAATATACGGCAGGGAACCCATTTTTGTCCGGTTGGCCTTTGGCGGTGGTGATCGACGGAGCTCCGTTCGGAGATTTAGGTGAGATTCCTAGAACCGAGCTGTTCCTCGTGTTCTTATACACGCAGACACGATCGTATCTAGCCGGTGAAATAGTGTGCTATGTTAGCAACTCTGCGTGACGGAGCCACCCACCGCTGACAGAGTGAACACTGGGGTTGGCGCCTATCGCATTTCTTTTTCTGGTGCCGACATGTGGAGCAGGAGTACCGCGATAGTCGGCCAGACTGTGTACGTTTGTCATCCATTATCACCATTATTCAGACGTCCGAGAGACCCGTCGTCTTAGGTAATCTCAAAATATATAGATGAAGGATGGACAGGCCGTATGTAGGAAGTCTATCACATCGAGAGCTTGAGTCGATCGGATATTTAAGGCGGGGCGGACAAATGGTCGGGGGCGAGCTAAATAATTACCGACCGCCAATGCGAAGTCCGATCACTATGACGCAGCGGGCTGTTTCTCGAGAGCATCCAGTGGCGAGTCATATTGCTGCGTTTTGTATTAACCGAGGTTCTCAACCCCAAGAGTCCGCGTTCGGCTGGTATTACTGTACTGTTTGGTACGGTACGGTACTACCCGTTAGCTAACGGATGCAAGACGGAAAGAGATGGATTATTAAAGATGAAGATTAGGTTGATCTCATCTCTCTCTGCCCCATGACATCAAATAGCATCGGGCATGAGATCATTCAGCGGAGACATCGCCACGTGCTTCTGTACTGTGATTATCTGAGATTTGTCTGCAGCTATTCAGGTGCATGGTCCTCACTAATTTCGACATATTCCCTTGCAATTGTGGCGTAAGGTATGATGAAGTTGGCACAAGACTACATGAACTGAGTTTACTGCCCTAGGGTAGGTATCATATAGAACCTCAAGCTCCTCAAGGAGTGAGGTGTAGAGATTAGACTGAGAAAGTGAGACAGAAAGTGCAACTGCATCAGATTTCACCTCTCCTATTGCTACCGTGTAAAGGAATAAAATATGGTGTACTATAGCACGAATGATCTGTGCCCGATGATATCCAATGTAAAATCTGGCGTATTATTTAGATGCGACCGTTTGGGGCCACAGTACGTGTACCTGCAGCAATCCTCTTCCAGCAGTGCATAGCGGAGTCCGGTCGGCATTAGTCGGACTTTCACCCCGACTGCTTCTCCTACTGCGCTTGTCCCCACTCCCGCTGCTCCCGCTGTAATCCGGGGAATCTTCCGTGTCTAAAAGATGTAAGTAATGGCATATTACAACCAAAAGACAATGACGGCATGTCATGGCGTCTTCTATACTCAAAGCAATAGTTTTGAGAAAAGGCTGCAGAGAGCAAATCTGCTATATATACCGGTCGCCTTGACCTTCAAGTCTGTTTGGCTTCATCTTCTTCAGCATCATCTTCAATCAACAAGCATCTTCAATCAACAAGCATCTCCAATCAACAAGCATCTCCAATCAACAATAGAACAACTTTATCACTTACAACATTACTCACAATGGCACTATTCACAACTATCAAGACTCCCACTGCAACATATGAGCAGCCCCTTGGACTGTGAGTATTAAGGTTCTCCGATTCTACTTACTTTGATCATTTATTCTAATGTTTGCTGCCAGCTTCATCAACAATGAGTTCGTGAAGGGAACTGAAGGCAAATTAATTGAAACTTACAACCCTGCGGATGAAAAACTCATTACCTCTGTCCATGAAGCCACCGAGGTGGATGTTGATATTGCTGTTGCTGCAGCACGCAAGGCCCTCCAAACCACATGGCATCAAATTACCCCATCTGAGCGCGGTCATCTGCTCATGAAGTTGGCGGATCTTTTCGAACGCGATTTCGAAACTCTTGCGGCTATTGAGTCTCTTGACAACGGCAAGGCACTGAGCCTGGCGAGGATCGATGTTGCCGGCGCTGCTGGTTGCCTGCGATACTACGGTGGCTGGGCAGACAAGATTCACGGTCAAACAATTGAGACGGATCCCAACTCCCTCAACTACACTCGTCATGAGCCTATCGGCGTCTGCGGTCAGATCATCCCATGGAACTTCCCTCTTCTTATGTGGGCTTGGAAGATCGGCCCCGCGGTTGCGGCTGGTAACACTGTCGTTCTCAAAACTGCTGAACAAACTCCTCTTTCTGGTCTCTACGCGTCCGCATTGGCAAAAGAGGCCGGATTCCCCGCTGGTGTAATTAACACTATTTCCGGCTACGGTCGTGTTGCCGGATCCGCAATCTCCAGTCACATGGACATTGACAAAGTCGCCTTCACCGGCTCTACCCCCGTCGGACGAACTATCCTCCAAGCTGCAGCGAAGAGCAACCTCAAGAAGGTGACTTTGGAACTCGGCGGTAAATCACTAAATATTATCTTCAACGATGCCGACTTAGACAATGCTATCAAATGGGCCAACTTCGGTATCTACTACACTAGCGGACAGATCTGCTGTGCAGGCTCTCGTATCCTCGTGCAGGAAGGCATCTATGACGAATTTGTTAAGCGATTCAAGGAGCGAGCACTACAGAACAAGCTGGGTAATCCTTTTGACGAGCAGACTTTCCAAGGTCCTCAGGTCTCACAGCTACAATTCGACCGGATTATGGGATACATTGAGGCTGGTAAGCAGGGTGGTGCGACTCTTGCTTTGGGAGGTGGACGATATGGTGACAAAGGTTTCTTTATTGAACCTACTGTCTTTACCGATGTGACACCAGATATGAAGATCGCCCAGGAGGAGATTTTCGGTCCTGTTGCAGCCATCCAGAAGTTCAAGGATGAGGATGAGGCTATTAAGATTGGAAACAACAGCAACTATGGTAAGTAAAGTCTACTGCTATCATCCGGGGCATTGTACACTGACGTCAAACTTAGGTCTTGCAGCTGCTATCCATACTAGCAATGTCAACACTGCGATCCGCGTCTCAAACGCTCTACAGGCAGGGTATAGTTAATAATCTTCTTCGTTGTATTGAACCAACCAGCTAACGATATTCACAGTACTGTCTGGATCAACCAATACAATATGCTGTCCTACCAGACTCCATTTGGTGGATACAAGGAGTCGGGCATTGGCCGTGAGCTTGGTTCCTATGCCCTTGAGAACTACACCCAGGTTAAGTCTGTGCGGTATTCTCTGGTTAACGCTCCATTTGCTTAAACATGTTTAAGTCAGTTGGTGCAAGGCGGTTGGCATAGACTCAATTTAAAGAATAGAATAACTTAGGTGCAATAATATATCGATTTGACTATGGAGGCAGATTAAAGCATGATGCATTTCCACCGCTACAAAATGTTACGTTAAGCTCCTTGATTAGTGTAGCATTTCAGACTTGTAATTCCAATCAGTTAATGACTGCAAAGTCGCTCGACGTCATAGGCTGCGTCCAGGGGACTTTTCCATTCAACTCCTCCTCGCCATTGATGTAATCAAAAACGGGGGTCTTTGCAATGCCGGCAGCAGCCCGAGAATATATACATTTTTCGATGGTGCGATTCGATATAACATAACGGTCTACAAACTTGACAAGCTGTCCTTGCCAAGTGGCCATTGCGGTGACTTGGCCGGAGCCGACGCAGCCAGCGATAACGGCATCAAAGCGGGTGTCTTGATAGGCCTTGAAGGCAGCTGAGAGCTGCGCCGTAGTTGGGATACTGTGGACGCCGCCGATTGATCGGAACATGTTAGCCAACTCATTGGAGAGCGTGACGACGTCAACGATGCCATTGTTGCATCCAGCACCAGTGCTGGGGGTGAACTTGTGCGCCGCATCGCCAGCAAGCACGATACGCCCAGCGTGTGACCAGTGTTGGACAACACCCTCCTCGAGGTTGATCATCCCAGCGCCCCTGCCATCGCCGACGCGTGCATTGTAGGCGTCGCGGATCGTCAATCCGCGTGAGATGGGTAGGTGACCCCAGCGGCCGACCAACGCCTCTTCGTCGGCGGTGCTGTAGCGGATGCGCTCACGGGTTGGCTTGTCCATGCGCTCATAGATACCAATAACGGTCGTGTCCTCGCCAGCAAACAGCTGGACAGCGACGTCGCGCCCGTGAGTCTCGTTGGCATCTCCAGGGTGCAGATCGCCTTGTGTGGGAAAGCGGATCCAGAGAGCACGGTAGGTGGTCAGGAATGGCTGTTCTTCGTTGACTTGGGAATTCTCGGGGCCTGAAGTCTGGCTTGCTCGGAGAGCGAGTGTGCGCATCTGGTCACGTACAATGCTATGGGCGCCGTCTGCTCCGACAATGATGGATCCGTTGTATGAAGTCCCATCACGGCAAAGGACAGTTACATCGTCATCTGTGATGGAGATGTTGGAAACGCGCTTGTTAGCGAACATTTTGGCCTTGCTCTCATCTGAGAGTGAATCGTAGAGGACAGCGGTAAGATCGTGGCGGCTGACGGCTCTGAGGGAGCGGCCATGGCTATTGAGTTTGTTAACGCATGCACCACAATGTACCACGAGAACCAATGTCATACTTTTCGCTGATATGTACGAAGGCCTGGCTGGTGCCCAGATCCTTCCCATTGTGGTCCCGGCGTTCAATTTGAGCCAACGGTGAACTAACGGCATCGAAGGCAGGGAGAAGTCCAAGCTGGCCCAGGACACGCAAGCCCATGGGGTTTATGACCAGGTTAGAGCCGGCGTCGAGTACAATACTGGGCCGGCTTTCGAGCACAACGAAATCGATACCAGCACGGGACAGGGCATGGGCTGCGACAAGCCCGACGGGGCCGCCACCAACAACAATGACTTTAAAACCTGTGGGGCTCATAGTGTATGGGGTCGAAGCTGAAGCCGACGTTTTATGAAAAGACCCTGAGCAGTACTCTTGGGGTTCGGAAGGAGTTATTCGGACGTTTTGGAAAGGAGTGATGGTGTTGATGGTCACAATGTGGGTGACCTGTCTTCGAGATGTTCTTGATGATAAGAATTGGTTTGGAGAGATAATAGTCCGGGGCGGCGATACTTATATAAGAAAGATACTTCGTCTACAGCTGGGTAAAGTGGTGGACGGCAAGCCCGTTCTTGTAGCTGGCTCGACTACAAATTGCGGTTAACTTGCATGGCTCGCACTCGTATTGCTAGTCTGTGCGCTGCATATCTGTCGTAAGACTGCTAACTGAGATGGGTCAAGGGAGCCAATGATAATTCTTACGGTATGATACTGTCTCCCAAGGACTAAATTGCTCCGCCCCAGAACGCGGGTTGAGACTTTCTTGCTCTTGGCGGTTGTGCCTAAGCCTTGGTTTCTCAAGTCCAACCTTTAGGCACTAAACAGACATCCCACACTCCCTGTCCGGTTTGGAGATGTGGGAGAGATCATGGGGTGTATTTAAGGATTGGTAATAACTAGGTGATATGGGCTATTCTTTTTCTACCTAACCGATTGGTTTGTCTTACTTTCTTTGGCATCCACAGAGTATCCAACTCGTGGAGAGTTATCGTGTGCGAAGCGAATGAACTGCCATTAGTTTATGCATGAGAATCACCTTAGAGTTATATAAAGTCGGGTGGAAAGGGAAAATGCGGCGTGAATGGATATCTTTAATTACTAAAGCGTTGTAAGAGTTTCAAGGTGCCCGTCTCATGAAGTAATGTATAGTAGTATAGGTATCTCCTAATCCAAAATTAATATCAGAATTCGCACAAACCAACATCCTCACTATACTTACGTTTCCCTTTGAAGTGGTTGCAGTAGATTGTGTTTGCCCAAGTGTACATGGTTGCATATTATTTAGAATCGAAAGTTTCGTCGGTTTCAACAGCTCCCGTGGATGTTTTGGCAGGCACTTGGACTGATTTAGATACTGATTAATAACTATAGATCACATCAGTATGCCAATACCTAGGCTGTGTAGCAATTAGCAAGAGAACATAACAATTGGAACTAGCTGCTATAAGTGTCGCCTGTTTCTTCCCTTTTCAGATGGGTTACTGAAGGTGGCATGTGCCTCAGAATATAGCTTCAGTAACTACACTAGCACGCTAATTTGTAAGAAGGCTGCGTGGTAATTAGCCAGAGAACGTGGCAATTGGAACTAGCTGTACGTGTCGCCCGTTTCTTCCTTTTTCAGATAGGTTTCCGCAAGTGCCATGCGCCTCAGAATTAGCTTCCGGGATCCCCTCAGTACGCCAGTATTTAGGCTGCATTGTAATCGGCAAGAAAGACTCGGCGATCGGACTAGTAATTGGTCCTGCCAAGGTTCGACGAGGCCGTATTGCGAGATAGAAGCAACCCTCGCCTCCACGCAAGATCAAACGAAGCCCCACTGACCATAATTGCCAGCTTCAGCCCTGGCCGCATTCTTAGAGGCGGTGATTTGGCCATAGTACTGGTCAACAAGGACTGCCGTCATCAACAACTCTCTTATTACAGAGGCCGCAGCTGTTGCTAGCTTGTGTCTATTCCTTTTCTGCAAAATAATATACGTTTAGATCTAACTCTTAAAACTTTGCAGGGGAATGGTGGTTGTAATTAGGCCTATGTGTTTATATTGGCACGAGCGGTTTTAGATCTACTGCGTGCGTACATCTTGTTTTAGTCCGAACTGTAAAACTGCAGCTCATGGGATGCTGCGCAACTGGGAGAGCCTTTCAAAATTTTTATACATAACAAAAGCAGATCGCGGAGGCAATTTTCCTTTATTGTAGTAAGTACCTACAATATTATTTCGACCACATTACTATACATGAGCACCTATGCCAGGCAGTAGTCGCCCCTTGCTTCCGTGGCTGTAAGCGGAATTATAGAAGCTATGAATCAGTGCCCTTAAGCTCATAAGAGTGGGACAAAAAAAAGTGATTAGGTTGCCTAAATCTTCTATACTGGGATGCTGCTTGCAAGCGTCTGGTAGAAATTGCACCGCGTACCGCGGCCACCTTCCCAAGTATCGGCTGGGACGACAGAGATAGCATTGCGTAGGCCAGGTTGTTGAAACTGCGTGACAGGCACGCCCCATTGTGTAGTGAATGAATAGGGCACGCCACCTGTCTCATTGAGATTGAGCTGCTTGGGGCTGGTCTCGGTCCAAGCTGGCCAGGTAGAAGCGCCATTGGCTGCATTAGGGTTTGACGACGAGGCTCCGTTTGCAATAGCATTCGTTATGGATGGATCGCCTTTTGTAATAAAATTGCCCCAAATGCGCCTGAATGCCAGGATAAAATCGGTAGACAGATTTGGTGTCGATGGGCCAAAGTAGGCATTCATGTCAGTGGTATGCGAGGCGAACGGTACTGAGAATTGGTAATGCCAGCTCCGCCGGCCATTGGACGTATAGGCCGATGCCATCCAATAAGACGGGCAAACAAACGTCGCTTCGGCATAGATATTATTAGCTCGTTGCTGCTGGCCGTTCGCATCCTGGGATACATTGACAGCAGTCAGACCTGTTACGCCGCTGGTTTCAAATAAAGGACCTGCCGTAGTATTTGCGTTGTTGGGATTCACTGCTAAGATAGAATTGATTTGGGCGTCAGAGAGGTTGGGGAATTCAGCGTGCAGCCAGTTGGTTATATCGGCAATGGTTGACATGGAGGGAGGTACAAAAAGCGGTCCTTCATTGGCGTTATTGCCCACCAAGAGCTTCTTTCCATTAACTTTCTTAGCTTTCAGTTGTTGGCTGGGTAGGCCTGTGATATAAACGTTGTCTCTAACAGGGTAGAACGCCCTGTAGTGCGATGGTCAGCCTAGACAAGAAACATAATGTTATTTCTTAGATACTGACCAGAAACCATAAGTCTGCTGTGCGGCCAGTTGGATGTTGGCGTTCTGTAGGCTGACTGTATCTTTTCCGATGAGGCAGGAGAAGACATTCCCGGAGCCGGGACAGCCAGCCGCGGCCGAGAATGCATAGTAACGAGCCGTAGGCCAGGCAGCATTGTAAGTGTATTGGAAAGGCAAGTATGGAGATGCAGCAATTCCCTGGTTGAAAAGCAAGGTGCCTAAGCTGCCTCCAGCGGCCATATCGTGGTACAAAACAGAGCTCCCGCCGGCCGAGTCGCCCGAGATGGTAATAGACAAAGGATCGCCGCCGAACTGGCCGATGAAGAGCTTGATCCACAGAAGTGCAAATGCTTGGTCGAGAAGGCCGGCATTTACAACGCCTTTGCTCTTCACTTCTTGCGATGACAGGAAGCCAAATGCGCCTAGCTAGGTTTTTTCTATTAGCTTACGATCGATAAGTTGAAGGGGTGTGAAATGAGAATGCTTTTTTACCCGATACTGTATTGTGACGGCAATGAAATTGTTGTCGTTACTGTTTACGATACCGCTCATATCCAGAGTGCCATCACCAAAGCCGTATCCACCACCATGGATGTACACTAAGACCGGTAGCCTGGAGGCATTGGATGGCGCGTAAACGTTCAGGAACAGGCAGTCTTCGTTTCCCAGAATGCTAGGGACTCCAGGCACAGCTAGATATGCCTGTGGACAGATGGGGCCAAAGTCAGTGGCGGGAATTGGTTGTGCTGATGGCTGAGTGGCTGGAAAGCGTGGTGGTTGCCAGCGGAGATTTCCTATAGGTGCCGCTGCGTATCTTATACTGTAGCGAGAGACACATTCCTATATTTTAGCCATTGGATTTGAACATGAGATAGAAAAGAGTTAAAGTTAAAATACTCATACCCTTTCCAAACATTTAAGTCGCTTGCAGAGTCATAGTAGCCTTTATACTTGGCGTAACCAAGGTTCACTTGCAATGAACTTTGAGACCGCCGATCCTTGCTAGAATCATCAACATTTGCCTGTGAAGCATTGGCTATCAAGCTGGACAAGAACTCCGATGCAATATCGCCGCTATCGACCGACTTCCCCTCAACAGTATTTGACTCAATGTTAATAGGGGGGGCAGGAACTGCAAGGGAGAAGCCCACCACTATTGAGATGAGAATCTGAGATGAAATACGCATTGTCTACTCCGTATCTAGTAGCAATGTCAGAAAAGAAACAAGAACGAAGCTCACAACGTAAGGATGGCAAGAGGTCAGAGCATCAATATGCAACTGGTCGTGCCTGTGGCGCTTATATTCAAATCCATTTCGCAGTGTCCTTTCCACCAGCGGGCTAACCATCACAGAAGGAATGATTCAAGAAGAACAACAATGTAAGCGGTAGCTAGTTACGTAGTGTGAATGGGCCAGAGCAAGGGGTAAGGTATCCGCCCACTTGACTGCTCTAGGTAATACCGCTGCCAACCCCCTGAATTGATGTTATGTCGCTTACAAAGAGCTTTACGCAGCTTGACCTAGACTCTACGCACTCCAATATGCTTGCTCTCCTTCATTAGGGTCGATAACCCATGAATCCGGCTGTGTTTGTTTTTTTCCAATTTGAGTGGATCCTGATCACTATTGTCAATAAGCCCGCATACAAGTGTGCTACCAGACACGTGTTAGGGTAGTAGTGGCATCTTAGTTACGCACTTGGCGGAGATCTATCCAAGAAAGGAAGAAACAGGCGACGAATGCAGCCGGTTCCGGCGTAATATATCTCTGCCCGTAGTATGCATTAGTAAGCATCACGCGCGTCTACGCAGCCTCTGAACAACGGTGATTCGGGGAACATGAGAGAGCAGTGTGGTGGGATGTAGGAGTAGAGACGAGTTCTATTACCAGGCTGGCGAGTGAAGTCGCCGACATAAAGTCAATACTACTAGGTATATAGCGGAGCAAATCTCTGCCGCCTGACTGTCGCCTTATCATATGCCAGGATGGATTGCTAGGATGAATAAATAACCCTTGACCTGTAGACTTCAATACGCCTAGCATATCCTAAAGCAATTAAGGAACCTCGACTGATTTTTAATGTAGGGGCATGCAAGGGCAGTAATAACTATTAACAGCAGCTGAAAGCTACTTTGGGCTAAATCTTGGAGATAATAGCTGAGGATAAGCAAGACGAAAGCTTGGCCAAAAATGCATGACAATGAGTTTCTTCGTCTTGAAAGATAAAATAAGTAAGAATGCACGAGAAAAGCCAACATGAAGGAAAATAACAAGTAGAGTCTGAACGGACTACTCTGTAGAATATTGCTTGCTCAAGCACTCAAATCAGCTATCTGGTCTATAAACCTCCGATACTGGCAAACATATATAACCAGTCCCCAGGCATTGCCGCATATATATGCGATTGCTCCTTCCATCGTTCCACTCCAACCATTGTCGACCAACTAATTGGTTTATTTAAAGCAGTCATTTACTATTATGTAGGAGTAGGGCGGACGCGTTGCGCCGGCTGCTATTCAGGAATTGACCAAGATGGAAGCCCTGTACTCCGTGGTTAATGACATATCGTATCCGAGAATATTCGTCGCTATCTTTCTCCGCCGAGAGGAATCTAAGTGCCATGCCCACAGGGAAGAGGACAATACTAAGACACCACAAGCCGCTATTTTTCTTAAGGAAGATTGGCAAGGACCGCGCAATGTTACGGCAGCAGATTAACGGGTCTATTCGGGCTGGCAGTTCCGTCTGCGAGACTGCCGTCCTGCGCATCGCATTGTATAGGATAAGGCAGGTAGTCCAGTATAGATTCAACGTGTGGGCTCTGGCAATGTCTTCCATAGATATCTCAGCGTCCGGCTCGTACTCAAAATTGTCCGCCACTTTGTTAGGGCTAAATGATGTGAACCACGCAAGTAGATCTCTGTCGTATTTCCAGCAAGTGTAAAGCAACGCTTCTTGTCGCTGGCGCTTTTTCTCTACATCGGTTTCGTCTTGCAGATCGTCCAGCTTCTCCAAGATAGTGGGAATATCCACCAAAATGTCAACCAGGTTGTCCGTGGCAGATTTCGGCTCTAGGCTCCAGGGTATTTGCTTCCAGGCTGGGCTGCTGAGAATGGACTTTTTGCGTGTATAAATGCTCGGAAGGACCTTTATAGTATGACAACCGTTAGTTAGTTCACAAAATGGAGCTCTAAAACCCTAACCATAATTGCACGCCCATCACAAAACATGCGATGGCTGACGCCGCTGGCGCACCCCTTCGGGCCTCTCCCAAGGAAGATTGCAACTCCCCCTTTCACGTGGTCAACCCAAGCACGTGCCTGTGCGGCCTTGTCTTGCCTATCATCTCCATGGAACATCTGGTTGGTTACGTTAGATCCAAATGCGCAATTCGAAAGGAGGGAGGGGGAGGGGGGAGGGGAGGGGAACTTCGAAGAGGCTCATTATCTTAGTGGCAACCAAGATTCCATCGTAATTGGCCTGTGACGGATTAAGTAGCGCCCCTCTCATCCTACACAAAGCTTTTCCGTAAATCTTAAGCCCTGCATCTCGCATCCATTGCTTGTCATCTCTTTTTCCAACGTTGGCCAGTGCGAAAGCAACAAGAGCATTGCGCAATATGGGCTCGTGGAGATACAAATCCTGTGCGAGGAGCGTCCAGCTGCTGGAGGCACAAGAGATAGTAGTTTCTGGAATGGAGCGGCCGAATGGAAGAAAAGATTCCCAGAATAAACCGAGACACTTGGCCTCGAATGCAGCCTCGGCCAGCGTGTCGGATAACACGATGTCGAGCGGCTGGTTAGATTTTGTAGTAACTGGTCCTAGGACCGCTTCAATCATTAAGATAAACAAGCCTTCCGTGATAATCTGGTATTGTATTCACTTACAACCTACAGTTCTCGTAGTGTTGCGTCCGCGGTCCTTGGGTGCCCGGCTGTGTACAAAGGACAACCCTTGGTCATAGACGCATTCGACGCACCGGTGGCGGCATAGACTGCACCTCGGAAGTTGAAGATCACACTGTGCTCCTTGTCAATTGATATGCAGCTTAGGATATACCCATATACCCTACTTGGGGAAGAGTGTCCGAGCTGCAATGATGGGATAGGATATACTCGACGACGACGTACTTTCTTCTTTAGGTGCCGGCAGGCCCTGCAACGCCGAGACTGCCCCGGTCCTCTTGGCATAATGCGGAGTCGGCTATGTCCTTTCTAATTGTGAACTCTGGCAATCTGGTGGGAGGTTGGATCTCTTTTTATTTTTCTCTTGATTCTCTTCAGTCATATCGACTGACCGATGGGGTTGGATCATAAGAATTATCGGCAGATGTGGTGCTGACGTAAAGGCGGTGGCCATTTCTTATCAAAAAGTGGTGTTTAAATGCAGCTACTATTTCCAGCTAAACCACGAAAGAGATTGGTGGAGAGCCACCTTCCGTGCTAGACTGTCCACTATGAATCTCTTTTATCCTGTGCTAACCTTGCGCCTTAAATTATCACTGTCGTACTAACTCGCGCCACCGACTGTTGCAGGCTAAACCTAAATGGTAACAGCATGGTGACTATAATGAGTAACAACAACAAATGCCGGTAATCATGTGGCTACCACGTGCAGATGTGCATTGACCCAAATTTTAGCTGGTAGCTGTTTCTTAAGCTCTCACTTGATCGAGCGTATATGTGTATTGTTTTTCACCCGTCTTTTGCGGGCATTTCATTATACCATACATGACAATTGTGTCCAGTCGCTAGCTAATCTCTGCTAACAGGGGCCATAAAATAAGTGCTTAGCATGTGGTATCAATAGTTGTTGCTACGACTATGGAAATCAGGTGGTGCTGGTGGAAGCTTTCAGGGTCCAGTTTTGTCATACATAGCTTTGATAGCTTTGCTCCCCTACGGCAATCTCGTAATGCACAACTCAGCAATAGGTGATGCATAAGTTGAGATACGTACGTCAGATTTCCATGACTATAGCGGAAACGGCGGTCAGGCTCACCGGAGAACAAATATTTAACAGCTATTTTATATATTGAGGATGAAACATAACAAAATCCGGATACATCTGCTTATGCTTTCTTGAGCTCCTCGTCTTTCTTGTCCTGTCACCGCCATTGGTGTTTGTAGGATTGGTGTTGTTCTACAGAGTATAATTCCAGACGATGAGATCAGGGGTATGGTGTTTGGTTATGGACTCGGTTTGTCTCCTTTAACGTTTATCTACTGCTGCACAACGACTCTCGCCCTCTCAACCTCCTATATAGCGGCGCTGATTCTTTAGAGGCCGCCAGAGAAAAGACTTCGCCGATGCCATTGATCATTATTATTATCTTCCTGTAGCTGGCGCTAAGTTGGTCACAGAAGTTCATTAATAGGACTAGGGGGATGAGAATTTGACGAGTCAGACGGTATACGAGCTACACTACAGAGGACATGTATTGCATGTACCTCAATATTTTGCCCATAAAATGTATTTCAGTGTGGAAAGATATAACGCCATGAGCATACACTGTCATCAACATAGTTTCTAGGCGCTAGTTTGGGATTCCAAAGGTGACTGGAGCTTCTACTGGTACCTCTTGAGAGGGCTTACCTGTATATACAAGTCGTAAGCTCTTGGACAAAATGGAAGGAGACTGTTTATCTCTCTGGGATAAGCTGAACTATTGAGAGAGGGAATAGTTCAACTCTTGAGGCCAGGCACTCTTAAATATATCTTCTCGAGATAGACGAATATCTTGTTGGCGCCCGACTTTGCATGCCATAGTGCCCAAATCTGTCACATAAGTTCTCAATCTCCTCGTCTGCTTGCAGGTGTAAATGGACTGAGCAAATAGATGAAAGCGAAGCTAGATTCTCAAGTGGCCGCTCAAGCTTGGAAGTGTCTAATGCCAATGCATAATCACAATCACAAAATACCCCAACGCTATCCAATTTGAAAAGTCTCTTCTAATTTGGTTGTATCTGCTGGATCCCATAGTCATTTTTACCGTGACGAATAGAGTTTAGAGGCGGAGCGGGGGCTGCACCCGTCGCCCGTTTCTTCCCTTCTTGGACAAATCCCCAGAAGTGCGGCCTCGAATATTACGTCAGCTCCACTTTGCTCGGCTCTTCGACTTCTCTGAGGTGCAGCAACGCATATAGCGTAAAATCCTACGGAGGACACTCATATCGGAACATAACTAGAATGGGGTAATCAGTTGAATAATTCTTATAAGAATGATTGGCGGCAGTCGGTGATTCATATGATCGGACAAGTCTTAATGAAAGAAATAACAGAACACAAGATCCTCATATATCGACCCAATAGGTACAATCCGGCCTTTTCTACAAACCGCTTGAAGTCTTGCAATTCCTTGCTCTTCATCAATCTCGTGACACTTACAACGCGATACAACTAACCACAGAGCCCGAAAATCGGCCGATTTATTATGCCAACTATGTCCATCTCCCTTGTTACTGGTGGCACAGGCTACATCGGTCTCTATGTCGTGAAGGAGCTTCTCGAGCATGGCCATATAGTGCACACAACAGTACGCAGTCTAAAGAACCAGCACAAGTGCAAGCCTTTGCTCGACCTACAGGTCGCCCATCCAGGCAAACTCCGCCTATTCGAGGCAGACCTGCTTGTCCAAGGCTCCTTCAAAGAAGCAATGCATAATTGCGATACTGTCTACCATATTGCGTCGCCGTTCATCTTGCCGCAACAGACGAAAAATGGAATGAAGGAAATTGTTGAGCCAGCCCTAAAGGGAACTCAGAATGTCCTTGACGAAGTAAATAAGACACAGTCTGTTCGGCACGTCGTTCTCACATCTTCCCGTACGTTCCTCAGTCCCAAATATCCTGACATATTCTTTGAGCTCTTCAGACATCAATATTAATTACACACCGCAGTTGTGTCGATGTATTGCGACAGTTCCGAAGTTTATGCCCTTCCTAAGCACACACTGACTGAATCCGTTTGGAACATGACGGCCTCACCAACATACAATCCCTATGCCTACTCCAAAGCCGAGTCGGAGCGGCTGGCCTGGCGTGTTACCGATGCCCAGCCCCAACCCCGCTGGGATCTCGTCGCCATCTGCCCAGGTCTCGTGCTCGGCCCTCCACTATCTAACGCCTCGGACTCTGGATCTTTGCGAATGCTTGAGCACATGTATGAAGGATCTGATCGGTACGGCATCCCAAACTACTCATACGCGATTGTCGATGTACGCGACTTGGCAGTCGCGCACGTTGCGGCGGGCGAGAAGGCTGAGGCGAATGGGAGGTACATTATGTCTCACGCAAAGTCCACTAGCATGCTTGCTATGGCCGAGCTAGTGCGCCCATTCCACAAGCAGGCGAGGGTATTACCGACGAGAGCGATGCCCAAGTTGCTAGTCTATTTGGTTGCACCGTTCCTAAATGTGTCCAAGCGGTGGGCGGATGGAAACCTAGGAATTGACTTTGATTTGGACAATAAGAGGAGTAAAGAAGAGTTACACATTGTATACAGGCCGTTGGAGGAGACATTCAGAGACCATTACCTATCTTACCTTGCTCGGCAGGACGTGGACTGAAGTTTTATTACAAGCTCAAGGCCCGCTAAGGTGTTTACAGGCGTAAGCAAAGCTGCTGCATTGATCGCCGTCAGCTAGTTCAACCAAGCTCTTCCTCTTTCATTAAGTTGTTCCCATTGGGTCAGATTTTTCCTGTTTGATCAAGTTTATCTACTTCAATGACACTTCTAGGAAGCTGGGGAATGCTCTTACTATATTAATATTACCTTATAGTGAAGCGAGAAAGTATATATACTTGGGTTAAGTATAATTCAACTTAAACAGGAAACTACTTATTATGTAATATGTTAACCAAGTAGTTGCTAAGCTCTTTATTTTTTACTATTATAAACAAAACCTATTTAAGACAACGGCAAGAGATACCATCAATTTATCATAGGATTAATAATGAAACTTCCTGTCTCGACCATAATACGCTTAGAGCTATGCTTTGACGACATGCTAGTCTCAGACGTGCAAGGGGTGTCTTGCGATAACAGAATGTAAGACACCTACTAGCCTGCCAATAAAATTTGCAGAAACTCGCAGTAGCTTATTCATGCGCCTGCAGTTTATATAAGTGAAAGTAGCACTGGTTCTTATGGATTCGGGACTCTGAAAGTAATCATGCAACCTGATTATTCCACCGACACTTGCTCCTTACCTGTCTTCCATCTCAGTTATCAATCCACGGAAAAAATGCCAATCTTACAACAACGAAATTTCCCAAGGGAATCCAGGGAATTTCTGGATCGTGATAAAGACTTCCACAGCAGCAATGGCTCAGAGGACGAGATGCTATTAGGATCCAGGACCCCCGTTGACTTTGTCCCTATTCCCGAGCAACCGAGGCGGTTCTCAAATACCTGCATGGTCTCTCTCATAGTTGTCAACATCATACTTCTTCTGCTCAATGCCGCTTGCTTTCTTTCGGTGACGGTAAGGGGAGCGCAATGGGTCAACCGCACGCTTTCGGCGGTTGGACTAGGACGAGATAATCACGTCGCGATACAGATTCTGTCACCATGTAAGCGCACGCCCCCATGTCTACTCTGAATTTGTCTTCTTCTACATCTTTTCACTTTTCTTTTTCTCAAGGTTGGGTCATTTTACTGATATATCTGGAAAGCACCGGCAGAGGAAGTCGTAGAGTATCAGCTTCGTCGATTCACTGATGTAATGAGCACTGGAGACTTAGATCGAATGTTCGTTGGCGATGCAGGCGAAAAGACGGACAAATTGTGGGATGACATAATAGATGGTATGTATCAGACTATCCACCACTTGATTTGCTTGAATTGAGAGACGCCAGACTAACCTCACGTAAAGAGGACAAATACTTCGCAGTTGACCACGATACTTTTGTGCGAGTCAACGGCAATCCCGACACGGGTGTTCGTCTGCCGGGGGAGAATTCAGACAAGTTCATTGGGAGTCTTCAATGGGCTCATCAGTTGCACTGTTTGAACATAATTCGGCAGTCTACGTGGTTCGACATTGGCCATTATAGGCACATGCACCATTTCCGCAACAAGACTGATGAAGTTATCATAGCTCACACAAGTTAGCTCACGCCTTCTTTCTTCTTCCTTGATTGTATTGATTAGCGCATCTAACACGTCTCCTCGTAGAACACTGTCTAGACAGGATCCGACAGGTACTCCAGTGTAATGGCGACACGTCGATTCTGACTTACAACTGGATCAGGGGCTATGAGATGCCAAAGGTGGCGCCAATGACTCTGCAGAGCTGTCAGAACTTGGATCGCTTGAGAGAGTGGCAAGACATGAATGATATCAGCCATCTCATTACACACCTAGAGAGGCCAAACTGGGTGATGAGTTCTGACCCAGAGGTGAAGACGCCCAATGGAGGCCGTAAGGGGCCAGCGGAGGTGCAACATCCGCCCATTCAGAGTAACATAACTAGATCTATGCATAAAGATACTTGAGACATGTGAATGACGCTCGTTATACACATGCCGAGGGCTGCAGTCGTAATACATAACTTTTAGAGGTTCTAACAACGTGCTTCAATAGCCGTTTTTCTTTATAAACAATGTATCATCTCATAAGTCACATAGTATTAAAACAATATCATACTCTTTGTGAAAGCTTTTTGTTGAGTATTATATTATGGAAGAGCCTAGAGAGTTCATGCCTATCCCAATCACTTCAGCCCGTACAATGAGTTATATTATAGTTAACATATCACATACAATAAGGCGTTCATTCATTCGAATGTTTCAAAGCAAAAAAGAAAAGCAAAGCTGGCTCACGAGCCTCGCCAAAAAATATTTCACATAGCCATAAGTACAGATTTCAGGTGCAATATATTATGGTCAAGAAACGCAAGTTGAATCTTACTATCTTAGTCCGTCACGACGCGCTAAGAAGGCCAGCTACAACATAATACATTCCAAATTTATCAAGCCATGATGATCCTCGCCAGAAACCGTCAGAGGAGCTATCTTCAGTCTGGTTGTTGAAACCAGGCCATTTTTGATAATCGAAGTTCTTCCAAACCACACTCTGGAAGCTGCCGTCCCCATAGCGGCGCCAATTGAACCATCTGTCATTGGCAATACCATTAGGCAGACATGTCTTCAGTCTGTTCGGTTCCCCCCTCATTACGGCGCCAGGGAAGGAACCAGAGACCAATACCGGGAGGGGCGGATACATCGTCGGTCTGGTCAACACTGCTCTCGTCGCGGCGCCAGTGAAGGAACCAAGGACTAGTCCCAATAGGAGGGATGGATACATCGTCGTGAGCGATCTCAGAGTTAATGCTTTGGGCTGGAGCGGCAAGAACGCTGCCAGCCAACATAGCGAGAGTGAGAGGTCCCTGAGAGATTCTCATTGTTTCTGATATTGCCGAGTTTCTACGTAGGTCATTATATTAGCCTCCTGCTGTGACATGGCCATGCCAAAAGAGACATGGGTGGAGGGGGCGGCGTTGAAAGGAGTCTTACTCTGATTTCTCAAGTTGTAGGTTTTACAAGTCTTTTTGCTGAATATTGAATATATTGTGTATTGTGTGAGCTTACATTTGTGGTGAGAGGAGGGGAAACTCTCGAGGCTATATAGATAAGTAGATATGCTTTCATTCTGGGTGGCTCAGGGCGCCTACTTGATTTACCATGACTAAAATGAGAGTAACGAGTTGAGACCTCTTAGTGAGAAATCTCCAAGACATATGGCAGTTATACCCAGCCGAAGGTGAGGTCGCTTCATACCTTGTTCAGGCTGTAGATGCTCCTTGAGAAACACACCGATGATGTAGTCAACCCTTCACGTACTGAAAAAGGGTACAGGGCGATATATTTGAATAGTTGTCCCAACACTTTAATTTGGTGTCTCGCCTAGAACACGGGTTATTTACACAGTCCATGCGGTAGTACACGGTGTGCCAGTGGTAAGGGGGAGGTGCATGTGTATCTGTGTCTCGGATAAGGGTCTGCGGGAGTTATCTGTGTCTTGGATAAGGGCCTGCGGGAGTTGTTTATGTCTTGGATAAGGGCCTGTGGGAGGTATATATATATTTGTGTCTTAGATTAATGCCCGTAGTTATCTCTTTGAGTATTATAAGGTATTATATCAGTGCTTTTGAAAGCCATAGTTAATTAAGGGACTATATACTAAGTAATTATCTTTATATATTTAGTAACTAAAACTAAGTATTTTACAACTATAAAAGTTAGCTTATAACATGAGGCTTTTATCTAAATTATAGAAGAAACTATTTTTTATTACTAATTATAGTTTATAGCAGGCTTATTTCTATAAGTAAAAGTAAATATTTCCCTCAAACAACCTCCTTGCTGTCCTTGAAACAATACATCTCTCTACCTGTATCTGCGCCCCTTCGTTGCCTAAACTATATTGTGTAACAACTTCAACCTCTATCAAACCAGAGGGGTGCTCGATCTTCACCGTCTGCGTAGCATAATGGTTTAGCATTTGCTTCCCTGCTGTACCTTTTACCTGTTCTACCGCAAATCCCCTGTCCGCCTTCATTTCACTGAGGGAAACTGGGCTCGGTGTCCTTGACGGTGTCGGTAGCTCCTGTTTATCTCCTATCCGCTTAGCCAGGTTAGCTAGACGGCTTGGCACCGTGTCGGGGAGACACATGCCCGCACCGAGACACACAGCGCCCGTCAGCTGTAGCGATGGGTGCGGCTTCCCCATGCTGAAGGAACGGACTCTGATGTTCGCTTTGTCGTCCGGTGCAGACCAGAGAAATGCAATTTTAGGGGTGCCGCGAACTTGCGCCGCAGCCTCGATGTAATGTGCAAGGCCCATGCGCACGGCACCCTCGCGGCGGATGGATTCTACCAGGGACAGATATAAAGCATCATCGCGTTTTGAGTCTTGGAGCTCGAATGGTAGGGTCGAGGCATCGACTAGGATGAATGGGTTTGCCACATCGAGTAGGGTTGCTCGTACGGTGAATGGTTTGCAACCGGTTTCGGTGGCGCTTATTGTGAGATAGTCCCAGGGATTGCTGGTTGGAAATAGCTGGCCGGTCATGCTGCCGGCAGGGTTCGCAAAGGCGACTTTCACTTCGCTCCCAGTTATGCCATGCAGACCAGGCATGGCGTAGTTACCAACTTCTTGGACATGACCGTTATCGTCCACCTCAACTGTTTCAATAATGATTCTCTCTGTGTTGGTGTTAAATATGCGTACATGAACCTAAGCAATTTGTTAGTCTGCTGATACAGAGAAGACCGACATATGGACTAAGTACCTTGGTCTCACCATTCTTTACCTGTTGGACCAGCCCCTCCTGGATAGCAAAAGGCCCAACTCCAGACGCTATATTCCCGCAGTTCCCACTGAAGTCTACTTTTTCACCGCCGACCGATACCTGCGCGAAGGTATAGTCGACATCAACGCCCTCCATAGCTGATTTACCTACGACAGCCACCTTGGACGTGGTGGAAGTGGCACCGCCGACGCCGTTTAGTTGACGAGAGTCGGCCCCCATTGCAGCAAGTAGAGGCTCTATCCACTTGGTTTGATCGACAGGTAGATGCTCCCGCTTAATGAACAGTCCCTTCGAGGTTCCTGCCCGCATCCATACAGCAGGGAGCTTGTGCTTGGTCATAGGCTGGCGAGCCATTGTTGCGGGGTATGTAAGGAGGTGGGCTAAGTGATCTGGCCGCTGTGATATTCCAGTAGCGTACGTCGCAAGACGGCTTACAGGAGAAAGTCTCATGTGCTCTTGAGGTGTGATCAGTTCATCCGTAATTTCAGAAATCAACGTAGTAAACTCTACGTAGTAAGAGGTGGTTAGCATTGAGCCAGTCTAGGATCGAATGAGCGAACAGCACGCCAAAAAGGTATATGCAACCGAAGGGAAAGTTGAGAGTTATAACTTGTGTTGGACATCCACTTGTCGGTGGACTATGGGGAGAGGCAAGGATAATTCCCGTGAGCCATGAGTGCAATGGATCTGTTAAACGATTTATTTCCCCATGGAGATTTTTTCCCCGTAGGTCATTACATCAACACAGCGACGGCAGGCCGTGGCGAAGAGCTTGAAGAGAGAGTATTCTGGTGTAGGTTGTTCATTCCCGCGGGTAACAGTGGAGGTCAATCCCGCGAGTGGAAGCAGCTGGTCGAGTTGCCGCTGAGTGGGCGTGGGGTACCCGCGGGACAGAATGTCAGAGCGCTTTTCAATCCAAGCGAGACGTACTCCGTATATCCGGACAAGATAAAGTCTTATCCGCCGGTTACATGGACTCCCATTCGAGGAATTGGAAGCTGTCCAGTGCTGACCCATTAAAGCCGAAAAGCAAATCATCCACAGAACTAGTTCCGACTATGACGTCTGTGCCGGGATGATGCCAAGTCGCCGCTTGAGTCTCGACGTCCTGGCTCGCATTATGGTCCCTGGGTTGTGAATGCGTTATTACAGCGCCGTACTGAATTGGCTTGGGAATTTGAAGAGAAGCGGAGCCCCCCTGTATTGATAATAGGTCGTCATGTTGCACCATCGGAACTAGTGGTTGAACCACGCTATCTTTTTGGCCGCATTGTTCGCCTTCACGAACAAAACTCTGCATAATCTCGTCAATGTTAAGCCAACTCTTGCTAGGGGATCCAGCCGGTCGGCCATCGATGGAGGGGTCTGTTGGGGGGTTAGCCCCTTGTGCTGAGCCGACTGACCCAACCATGGGCAAGGCAGGTCCTGCCTCTCTGTCAACATGAATCCGCAAACCTTCCTCTCCTTCATTGATGGAGACTCCAAGACGCTTCATCAAATTTCTAATCACGAGGTTTGCTCTCCTAACCGCCCAGTTTGTTGCTTGATTTTCACGGAAAACGGCAAGACAGGTCTCGAGACTACGATGCTCTTCGGACGCATGTTCACGCTTGGCTGCTATGCGAGCATGGATTGTTGCCGCTACGTACGTTGCATACGAGATCAGATACGGAGCCCTTCGAACAGAGAATGCCTGGTCGTATGCCCGGAGAAGAGAGACAATCTTGGAGGCTGCCGAGGCACACTCGATGAATGAGTTGACCGAGATGGAGCGGGACATGTTGTGAAGGTGACCGTCTGTGACAAAGGGCCGGTGAAGGAGTATGATCAACACGTGGTACATTGCGCTGTAAAACACCAAGTTAGCTGGGAACCAACTTTGTGACTCCCCTGGTAAGGATGGCCTACTGCAAACTGAGTACGTGAGGGGGAGGACACGGATATTCATCACCACGAGTATTGACGACCAGATGTGGGGGCAATGCGTCCCTCCAGGTAGTAAGCTTTGAGTGGAGGCCCTGAAGTACCGTAGATAGGTCTGTTGTGAATATGCGCTCTGTGTATATATTGCTCAGTATGTCGCTCATCACGACCGACAGCTTGCACAAATGAGTAAAGGTCGAGACACTGTGGGCCGCTGAGCCGAGGTAGGGATTGGGCTGGGGAGTGTAAGCGAATGGCTCCCAGTACTCAAACTCTTCAAAGGTGTCCAAGAACTTGATCGGGACCAAAGCATCCAATTCCCTCAGAGTTGCTGGACGTCCCTGATAGAGGCTTTGAATCTTGTCGACAACTTGCAAATCAAAAGACGTTAGCCAGAATTTTGGGAAATAGGTCAATTACGAGGCTGGAATTTACCAAAAGCTCCCCAAAACACTCTCCGTCTGATCTCGATGTCTTCATCTGATAATCTTCTCGCGCCTACTCTATCAGTGGTATCAACGTGTATTCCCAAGTCGATAATCATTCGAAAGGCTAAGCCAGAATAAAGCCAAGCGGCATTGCGCTCATCGCCCAATGCAAAGAGGGAATTCGTCATGACTAGCAATGCTTGAATTGTAGTGATATCACTACGATCTAGAGAGCCACCTAGAAGCTCGCGTACTCTCTGCCGAAATTTCCAACCTGCTGTCCGGGGATCATTGGAGTCTTTTCGGACCTCGAGACGAGGGCTGAATTTGGCAGCACCAAAGTAGATGGCATTGAGTAGCAATTTGCTGAAATATGGGCCGCCACAAGCCATATCTCGCATAAAGGCTGGCCGGTAGGTGATAAGAAACGAGTGATGCTGCCGATTCCAGTGGAGCGATAAGAGGTGCATTCCCAAGTCGGGATTAACCGTGTCAAAATCTAGTTTGCCCGCGCGGAAATTGAGCTCTTCGAGCTGACCTGCTTCATTGTCAGACATCATCATTTCAGGTTGGAGAGGCACTAACGCTGTTTCGCTGCTTCCGCCACGAGGCCTTTCTCAACCCACTCATCTGGCATGCGCGGCCGAAACTCTCCGGGCAGCCTATCTGGCAGATTTTCGTCAAACAATGCGCTGGTCCGGCCGTGGTAGCTTGCCATGCCGTTGGCGGAGACTACCAGGCGAGAGGCACCGGGGGATACGAAGCCTTCACGGCTCCGAGGGCGGTGGGGCGCCTGCTGGTTTTGGTGCGCTGTAGATGTCGGATTCGGGCAGGCCGGGTCCTGTTCAAGTCCAGCGGGGGAGACGACCGCAGGTTCATTATTGCGCGAGACGCGAGGCCTGGGTCTCCTCTGAGCGGCCTTAGAGCGGCGGGACGGCTGTGCGCGTAGCCTGCTAGGCGCTGGCAATCGGGACGAATCGCTGAGCGGTTCGTAAATGCAATCCTTGCCGTATGTCCTGCAGTTCGCGCAAACAGGCTGTTCATTATTGCACTTGATCTAATCCTCGCGGGGTCAGCAAAATTTTCAAGGGGAACCAAAATCACCTTTGGCAACGTCGTCTTGCCGCGGGAGGAGCAAATGAGACCGAGACAAAGCCACCACTCACCTTGCGCCTACGACAGAAAATGCAAGCCTCCATGGCCCGTTTCCTGGCTTGTCCGGACGGCGCTGGCTGCATTGATTCATCCATGGTAGAATCTCCTTCCCGTATCTCGTAGAGAACGCTATTGCCCACGGCGGTTGTGAGATGGGTGGACATGAAAGCTTGAAAAGGATTGCGGGTTTCCCGTCGGGCGAGGAGTGGCTTTTGGTGATTTATCCGGCTCCCGTAACCAGGTTTCCCGCGGCAGGCGAGGTCCCATTCGTGGGACGGTGAATGGCACTAAACGCCCTAGCTTTGTCGATGCTTTCTGCCGGCGATGCCCGATGCCTCTTTCGGCCCTGATTTGCGCCTGCTACAATATTTAGGTCCCTGGCACGTTGAAGTTGGGGCCAGGGATGTATCAGCTTGTGAGCTGAAGCTGGGTTGATTTTTTTTTTTTGTTACTTCATACACTAAAGTAAGTGAACTATCGTTCTTTCACTTCTTCTTTTTCACCTCATATTTGCTATACAATGTCGGGCCTTGTTTCCTCCAGCCGCGAAGTTGCAGTGCTCGTTGTAGCCGCCGATCCGGCTGCGAGGAAAGCTCACAATTCCCCCGCCGTCTCCCTAATTGCTGGCGGAAGTGCTGGAGCAATCGAGGCAGCTGCAACAGTAGGTATCCTCATTTCAAAATATGAGTACTATCGTTTAAGGAATAGTGAAATTGACATTTGCGGTCTTTAGTACCCATTTGAATATTCGAAAACTAGACTTCAGCTAGAGCGAAAAGCTGTGGGTTTATCAGCAAATCCTCTCACAGTGCTGATTCAAGCGGTGAGGAATAATGGCATCCGTTCGATATATACCGGTTGCTCGACGTTAATACTGGTAGGTAAATATCCCAAGTACATATGGACTGTCGGAGCTAGCGTTTGTCTCGCTGACTCTCACTAGGGAACGACATTTAAAGCCTCAGTGCGTTTCTTATCTTTTGACTCTATTAAAAGTGCATTAGCCGATGACACGGGCCGCTTGACTCCTGGTCGGGGAATTCTTGCTGGAATGATTGCAGGGTGTGCCGAGAGTCTTATAGCAGTGACTCCCACAGAGCGTGTAAAGACAGCACTGTAGGCATTCACCCAACCTGACAATCTCTAATAAGTGCAGTAGTTGACTGTAGGAAAGAATTGACGACGCAAATTCTGCTGTTAGACGGTATCGTGGAGGTATACACGCCACGGGCATGATTATTCGAGAAACAGGAGTTTCGGAATTATACCGTGGGCTACTACCAACTACTCTGAAGCAGTCCGCAACTTCTGCAGTTCGCATGGGCTCATACAACGTGCTGAAAGGCCTGTGCACAGAGAACAATATCCCGAGTAATAGCATTGTGACTTTTGCTACAGGTGCGGTTGCAGGTGTCATAACAGTCTACGCCACTCAGCCCTTCGATACGATGAAGACGAAGTCGCAGAGCGCGCGAGGGGCAAGTGCTACGGAAGCTTGTAGGATGGTATTTGCCGAAAGTGGCATCAGAGGGTTCTGGAGAGGGAGCAGCATGAGACTGGCGCGACTCGTTTTCAGTGGCGGCATCGTCTTTACAATATATGAAAAAGTCACCGCGCTGTTGACGAGATAGTATACGGACAGTGCTGGGGTCGATATTGTACATAAGTAACTGTGACGATATAGATGCCTAAAATCAGAAAAAAAGAAGTTCTGTAGCATCCATTTTATTTTGCGTGATTCTTGCGTGTAAAGTCTTGATCATGGCATCATAGATCACATATCAAGATCTGTGAGCTGGTGTAGTCGTTATATGAGATAGATAGGCAAGACATTTAGGAGTTGTACTTACGAATTACCTGTGGTAAGATGGTTAACGGGTTGAGAGTTTAATGTGTAAACGCAGAGCCGAAATGGATGAGGTGAACGATAAGGAAAATTTGCGAGCCAACAAGGAGAACCGTGTTTTTCTTATATAGATCAAGCAGAGAGCAAATTCAAATAGTATTGTAGTAGTCTCCCAATAACCAGTGGGGCCTAGCATCTCCTTTCTAAGCTAGATTAACCCCCCTATATCCACGTCGCCGTAGTCGCGTTATCTGATCTAGAGCGAGCAGCTCCTAAGACGTAGTGCGAGCAGATTGCTCTACGTGTGTTATCCCACCCTTCTCCTCATCTGCCATAGCGTCATTGCCATCATAGTATAAGTGATCCACTGGTGGCATGCCAAATAGCTCATCTATATCCTCCAGGCTAACATTCTTGGTCTCAGGGACAGAGAAAAACACCCAAGGAATGGCAATTGTCATGCATGCAGCGAACAAAAAGTATGTGCCATACCCGATATTGGTGATCATGTACGGAGTGCTCCGTGCAATGACGAAGTTCATGATCCAGTGGATAGCCACGCAAAGAGAGATACAAGCCGACCGGATACGAAGCGGAAAGATCTCTGCGGCGTAAATCCAGGGGATGCCGGCCCAGGAGAAGCACCAGCCAATAGCGTAAATGTAAATCATGACAACCGCTGCATAGCCACCGGCTGTTATCTGCGTTGATCCACTGGCTGGGGGCGCAGCGATTTTGATATAGGCTCCGATGAACCACATTGAGAATGCCTTATGAGAAGAGTCAAATCCAAGAATCTTCCCTCGCGTGTCGGGAGAAACTCACCATAACTGCGCTTCCTGCCATGAGTGTCTTCGTCCGGCCAAAACGGTCGACGACGAATAGCATAGAGATCAAAATTGCTACAAACCGAACAACCCCATATATGCCAGTGGCAAATAAGCCGGTATTCGTTCCAGTCAGGCCAATGCTCCTGAAGATAGCAGGCGAGTAGTAATTGATGGCGTTCGAGCCAGCCATCTGCATAAAAATGAACATCAGGGCACCAATTCCCAAGCGCCTTCTGTTTCCTGCCTTCGCAATTTCCTTCACTATGGACTTGAGCCCGTTTCCTTCGGCTATTGCTTCTTCATGTTCGAGCTGCTGGAAAATACTGTGAGCTTCTTCGAGAAGGTATGGATGATGATCTGGGAGGTTTCGGAGCCGCTGCAGCACTTGCAAACAGGCTTCTCGACCCTTTTCCCTTGCAAGCCATCTGCAGCCACGTTTTAATTAGCTGAGCTGCCAACACAATCCTGATCACGCTGAGACTGTCAATTCCTCACCTAGGCGACTCTGGAATGAAGAAAATCCCAATCATCAGTAGCCCTCCTGGGATTAATTGGACGGCAAAACTAATCATCCATTGGGTCGATGTCGGCGGTAGGTTGTTTGCAAGGCCATAGTTAATCCAAAAGCCAATCAAAGTGCCCATCGACACTCCAACTTCATAGAGGCCGACAAGCCGGCCTCTAACGTGTGGCGGAGCTGCTTCAGCAACATAAATTGGAACGATCATGCTTGCAGCGCCGACCCCAATGCCACCGATTCCTCTTCCCACTAGCATAAGAGCCTCGGATCCATGCGCGCCGGTCTGGATGGCCGACCCCACGTTGAAGAAAATGGCTGTGCCAAAGAGGGTGATGAGTCTCCCATATCGGTCACTGAGTGGTCCGGCCGCAAGAGCTCCAATAATACAGCCTGCTTGCAGAAGTGAGACGACATTAGCGGCGAAAGCTGATTTTTCAGATGCAGATGCATGGGCGAGTCCGAAGTCGCTGTTAGTATGTAACACTGATCAGCCTAAATTTTCTCGTACTTGGCAAGTCAGTTCTTCCGGTATTGGGGTTCTCCGTACACCTTGAAAGATTCCAGCTCAAGCGCGGTTCCTATAAATCCGAGATCATACCCAAACAAGACCGCGCCTATGCTACTAATCAAAGCAAGGACATAAACACGGTAGTTGTAAACCTCCTTAGGCGCCGGTATGCCTAGGTCTAGATTCTGGCGTGAGGCGCGCATGGCGTCAATTTGACTTTAAAAGTTGAGATTTTGATTGTGCCTATCAATGGCGACGAGAGTTTGCTGGATTCGAATCATAAGAGAGTTCAGGATGCCTCCATAATATATTCCCCCTACGCAGGGTTCATCTGGGGTCCCCGGAAAACCTCTTCGAACTCGTGGGGAGACGGAGAGATGCGGAGAAGAGCATATGTCTAGAGAGAGCCTAAGCTCCTTAGCGTCGCGCTTACACACCTTAGCTCCTTACTGCAAAAACTGCTCCCGCGGCTGTAATGCTTTACTCCCGCGGAAAGTCTCTTAGGCACTATAACCAAAGGAAGTCCAACTAGGCAAGCGTTAGATAGTATTTACTTATAAACCCCTAGTACCTCGGCTAGTAGAGGCTAACTAATTAAACTTTATTTATACAAGTTAAAGACTAAGGAGCTATTATATAGTATTTATTTATAAAGTCTTAAGTTTACTTAAGGTTATAAATTTATATTTCTTTAAGACTGTTTGTCAGAGCCCATCTAAAGAGGGCGCGGTCGCGCAACGGCCGCGCACCGGCCACGTTACGGGGGCGCGAGCTAAGGGTTGCGAAGCCCTTAGCTTAGCAACAACACTATAAAAGACCTAAAATCTAGGGAAGGAGTTAAGGAAGGCAGAGATAAATACAGTCACTTCGCTACCCTAAGCTTGCGTATTCGCTGTGTAGCTACCTGTGATCATCCCTTATCCCTCTTCACTCTCTTCCACGAACCCGGCTTCTGACAGGTTTATCTCTCTACCCATAAAGGGCGAAGGG